AACAATTGGGAGTTGCTAGCTGAACTTTGGACATTGGGATGCAGAGAGGGGGGGTATGGGGAAGTCAAAGGAAAGAAGTTTATGAAAATATGTTTGAAACTATACGTGTATGTTTGTCATTTTTGGTGTTTGTTTGTTTTTTGTTTAAAAAGTTTCTAAAACCAATAAAAATTTTATAAAAAAAACAACAGAGTGGCTGGGGAAACCCAGCCAGATGGGTGGGGTACTTATTATTATTATTATTATTATTATTATTATTATTATTTCTCTCACTTCCCACCATACTCCCCCCTTCACTTCACCCCCCCCCAACGTTTCCTAAAAAGAGCTGCACTTAATCTGGTGCAAGTGTACCTTTGGTAAATAGCCTCTTGAAACTGAAGCCCCTGCATGAAGGGGTTGCGAGGAAGAGGGACCTTTCTGTGTTGCGTGCCTACTCTGGTGACGCCCCAGAGATAACTTTGGATCCAAACAGGTGTTGCACAAGCACCCCTCCCTCTCTGGCCCACATTCCCGAGCCAAAAGTATATTTTTAAGAGAAGCTGGCGCTGCGCCCGATTCCCCAGCTGTATTTTGTTTGGCTAATGTTTTTTAGGCTTGGGTGATAGGCGGGGGACACCTGCCCGACAAGATCCAAAGGGCTGTGCAAAGAGAGCAGCTTCCTCTTCTTTTCTGCCACAAGATGCGCCCCGTGCATCCGTGCTATGTGTACGCAGAGCTCCACTCCCTGGCCAAAGAGGAGAATGTGAATTTCAAGAGCTTCCATGCAAAAAAGCTGTAGGGCCAAATTAGGCATGGCATTAATTGGACGGATGCCATTAGCGTGGATTTTTTTTAAAAAGAAAATGTAAATAGCTGCATCAAGGAGCCCATAGTTGCACAGTTGAACCCTGCCTCTCCCTTACTACTTATTGTCCTGAGAACGCAGCCCCTCCAATGCTATTTTCATTTGGAGGGTAGTCCCTAGTATAGCTCTGCCTCTTTGCCAAGCCCCTTGAGGCAAGCCCACGCTTGGTCATAGAGTCTGTGCTTGCACTTGGAAGGATATATTGCTTGGTGGATATATTCCTGCTCGGTGGATAGATTGCTCCTCATGTTCTTCGCCTTGAAATTCTGGCGATTTGCTGCACAACCGAAAAAAATTCCTAGGTTTATTTGTTTTTGTTTACTTAAACATTTATACACGCTTTCCCAGCAAATGGATCCAAAGCGGTGTACAACAAAAGAACAAAAATGTTATTAGCCCGTTCTTAAAACATCAATATCTTCAGGTTATTAGAAATGAATTAGTGACCTGTAGTATTCTCCAGATTCTCAAGAAGGAAAGGAGAAAAATGTTGGTTGGTTAGCACACCTTTCATAGAAATTTGCCTATGTATGAAGAAAAAGAAGACCCCTTTTTACTGTCTTAAGAGTTACCAAAAAACGCTTGTTTAAAAGCTGCAAAACGTCCACTCTTTACCAAGTGGGTTCCCAGTTGCTATCCCGATGCACTCTTATCAGATGTGGAACTTGTCCAAAAGCAACGCTGCAATTGCAACCCTGTAGCAATATAGTTGCTTCTCTTAAACACCATTCAAAGAATTAAACAAGAAGAAGAGCATACGGACGGTGTTACAACCTCTCTCTCCTCAAATATATATACCTTTTATGTGGTTCCCCCCTGCCCCGTTTTTAAAGGAATGCCGTTTGACTACCGTAGCTGCCTCTGTCTGAAATCTAAATGTAGAACGTAGCATATAGCTGCAAACATATGTTCTGCATTCCAAGGAATTACAGGGGAAACGGCCATTGGACGAGGGCTTAAAATACTGTGTGGTAGCCTGGGGTGTTCCTAACTGTGTATCAGCGAGGCTGCAGGCAGTTGCATATATCAGATGACCTTTGAGTGCCCTAGCAGGAAGTGGAAAGGTTTGCTAGTCAGCTGTGCAAAATCTGAGTGCATGCAGGCAGCCCTGGCAAGATGGATGCCAGAAGTGGTGAGTATGCATTGTGGTGTCGAGGCTTGCGTTGCTGCGAGTTCTTGCATTTATTGTTTGGTTTGCGCTCAAGAGACGGTGTGGTTCGGTGTGCATTTTATTTAATTCTCTAGCGGAGGGGAGAATGTTCAGGATAGACACAGAATCCTTATTTGTGCAGCAGCTGCAGTTGGCATTCCAGAGTTGTGCAGTGGTTTGTTTTTTTTAAAAAAATGTTTTAATAGGAAGACTGCAGAGCTCTGACTTATCCAGACAGTTGCATTAAAAGCAAAGGGAAGATTGTAACTGGATGAGCCGTGTATGCGAGGCACTGTGCTAGCACTGCTATTTTTAGATTCACCAAGTGACAGTCCTTGTGCTTACCAAATGTAGTCAGACATTTGCTTTGGAATAGGCCTGGGTTCTTTTGTTTTGTTCTTTGAAGGGCAGAAATTGTAGATCCTTCACATTTGAAATGTGTTTGCCTCTGGGCAGGTGGCTGTTCAGAATACCCTTCTGTGTGTCTCTGCCAGTGGATACGTTTGGCTTTCATTTTAAAAGGAAGCAAAAGGCAGTTTATCTTGTACGTATTACTCAAGAACTGTACCAGTTGTGACCTAGAAAACGACTGTAGTGTTGTAATTGTTCAAATAAAAAACCTAAAAAATAAAAATCCCAGGTTTAAATGTTTATGCACAGCACACACACACACACACACACACACAGGCTTGTATTTTGGGATTTGTGACTTAAGCTATAGGAGATAATGGCAGAAAAAACAAACCACATATATACACACACACACATACTGGTTCAAGGCACTCAGTGACTGCTTTCAGACATAATACTAAACCATGGTTTCATGTTACAGAAGTAAGCTGCAGCCAGTCTCAGGTTTCTCGCTCTTCCCCTCCCTATCTCTCGCACAACCCAGAGGAGGATTTTGGCATGGACTACTTTCAGTTTCCTTTAATCTCTGTTCGTTGTATTGGAACCTGGGATTGTGGTTCGTCACTAATTATGGTCAGTTTCAAACAAGCTAACTTCAAACTATGGTTTCTGAAGCTGGCTTATTTAAGGGCAGTCACAGGCTGCAGTTCTTGTCATGTAGAACTCGGTTTAGTGTTGTGTCCAAACACAGCCATTGGCTCCCTCCGTATTTTCCCGAGTTAATTTGTCGACCAGGTGTGTTTGGAATCAGCCCTCTAAGGCAGCCAGACGCCTATGTTCTGGTTCTTGAGGCTCCTGTTTATATGGCTTCCATACAGTTAGGAGTGTATGCATTCCTCACTTTGCAAAAATAAAAAGTCATCTACAACTGGGTCACCTGTCAAGGCAAAGGTGTCTTTGAAAGGCTTTTGGTTTGCATGCAAGCTGGTCCTATGGTGTGTTTGCTGTTGTGGTTTATTATTATTTTTTAAACTATGTTGAGTTCATTGGTTTGGCTTTCGTTATACAATTGTTTTCAGTCATTATTAGCATTGGGGAGGAGTTCTAGACATGGTGGCACAGAAACATTTTTAATAAACAGAAACAAAATACTCAGTGTGACAAAATCCTCTGGAGAAAATTGTACCTGTTCCTTTAAACACTGCCTAATTTAAATAGTGGAGTGATTCCAATATTTGAGGCTTTCTTTTAACTGTGGCCAAATGTGGTTGGGATATCACTGATACTTTTACACGTTGTCAAGAAAAACAAAACAGAAGCATAATTGATGATATTGCTGTGACACACAGAGAGCCAGCAGTGACACTCTTTCCCAGTTCCACTTTCAGCCCTATGCACTTTGCAAGGCTCAATTTAATTCTACTGGGTCCGACTTTTACTCAAGATTGTCTGGAAAAGTGAAATGAGCCTATGCATGACTTCTGTTTCATTGTTTCGGGGGTGGCCAGAGGGAGTGGTGCCTGTGGTTCAAAAATACAAATGTACCCAAGGGCCTGTCCCTGGGGTACATGATTCCTGAATTTAATATCCAATGTGGCATTCCATACTACATTCTATACTCTGGGGTATATCACAACTGTATGCTGTTGCAGTGGAAGAGAATAAAGTGGTAGGGACGTTGTATTCAATATGCCAGATATGGTTTGCAGATTTCTTTGTTACATTTGTGTTCCACACCTCTTCCCAAGAGCCTAGAACTCTGTATTAGCCCATAGAACAGCCCAGCTGTGACCTCTTAGGTAGGGAAGACTACAGAGTGAGTGCCCTGACTGCATGTGAGATTTGAACTGCAGTTTCCCCTGTCCAAGGTTCTGTTTGCCACAACTCATGGAGGGCTTCATGATTTGGTGAGTGGGTTTAGACCTGGCTTTTCCCATGTGCAAACAGAGCACCCTTTTCCTTACACTGTATTTTGCACAAGGGTGTTGTCGCTAATATATTTCTGTCTGCCCCTGTGAGATAAGACCTGTTGGAAATTGTATCCATTGTATTTTGGCCTTGACGATGGAAACCTGTTGTGCTGGTAGGAGAGGAAAGCAGCCTTGTTCTTGAGAAAAGCAGTTTTGAAAACCCCATCCGTACACTGCTAGTGCCAGCCTGCTTATTCCGATTCCTGGGAACCTCAAGCCCAAATGAGCATCACTGCACTGTGCTTTCTGCCTTCACCAAACCCATAGCAAGAGACAACTTATATTGCTGTGATGGCAAGTGCGTTCTCCTCCTTCTGCTCACCTGGGGCCAAGTGGTCTCTTCCTGAAGGAGCAGGTGAGAGAGAAATTATACTCCAGGCCTGGTGGGGGCTTGTCTGTTATCGCAGCGGCATATGATGAAAAGCAAGCCCTGTACTGTTATTCTGACTTCCACTTAAACAGGATCTGTTAACTTTTCTGAGCCATCGTGGTGTTCGACACCACACACGTACTAAATTTCCGTGGGGAAATCGCCAACGTTCGATGCATGAGTGTGTTTTTATCTATGCATGTGTTAGAAGTGCATTCATATATACATTGTGTGTTTGTGTGTGGGGAAAAAGTTGGGGCTATATTGCTTTGACAATGTCTTCTAATCTCCTTTCTCTTTAAATCTCTCTAGTTGTTGACCTCCTTTACTGGCGAGACGTTAAGAAGACGGGCGTGGTGTTTGGAGCCAGCTTGTTCCTGCTGCTGTCATTAACAGTGTTCAGTATTGTGAGTGTGGTCGCTTACATTGCCTTGGTCCTCCTGTCTGTGACCATCAGTTTTAGGATATACAAGGGAGTTATCCAGGCAATCCAGAAGTCTGAGGAAGGCCACCCATTTAGGTGAGTGCGTCACCCTACCCACAATCAGTTGTTAAGGGGAGAGGATGTGAGGTTGTACACTCCCCTCCAAGCAAGACTTTGTTTTGCCCTTACCACCACTTGTTGTTGTTGTTTAGTTGTCTAGTCGTGTCCGACTCTTTGTGACCCCATGGACCAGAGCACGCCAGGCACCTCTGTCCTCCACTACCTCCCGCAGTGTGGTCAAACTCATGTTTGTAGCTTCGAAAACACTATCCAACCATCTCGTCCTCTGTCGCCCCCTTCTTCTTGTGCCCTCCATCTTTCCCAGCATCAGTGTCTTCTCCAGGGAGTCTTCTCTTCTCATGAGGTGGCCAAAGTACTGGAGCCTCAGCTTCACGATCTGTCCTTCCAGTGAGCACTCAGGGCTGATTTCCTTCAGAATGGGTGCGTTTGATCTTCTTGCAGTCCATGGGACTCTCAAGAGTCTTCTCCAGCACCATAATTCAAAAGCATCAATTCTTCGGCGATCAGCCTTCTTTATGGTCCAGCTCTCACTTCCATACATCACTACTGGGAAAACCATGGCTTTACCACCACTAGTTCATTTGTAATACCACATATCCGTAGGAATCCTTGCTTGAGGCAGCTCTCATCAATAACCTACAAAATTCACTAATAGGCGCAAGGCATAAAACAACGTTCAAATAGCCATCTAAACAAGTAACTAACCTAAACATCTCACATTGACAAAGTTAAGCGACCCACTGTTAATCTCTACTGAAAAAGGCCTTCTAGCTGTCCTGATGCCTGACACTAGTTGCTATGTACCCTTGTAGCTCAATGCTAGAACATCTGCTTTGTATGCAGGAGGTCATGGGTACAATTCTGGGGGCTGTGAGAGAATCCTGTCTGAAATCCTGGAGAGGCTCTGCTAGTCAGTATAGAAGTACTGAGCAAGGTGGACTAATGATCTTACTCAGCATAAGGCTGCTTCCTGTGGTCTTATGATGATCTTCTTCTTCTTCTTTGGCAATCACTCATAGCCGAGTAAGATTGTCTTCCATAAACACGGTTTTAACAATGAGTCTGTAAGCTTCATTGGCTGTGCAATCAAGGTTCGCATGTAGAGGCACTAGGGTCTCTCGCTACCCCCAAAAAAGTACCTCTAGCTGTCCTCCTGCAAATGCAAACACGTCTCTTTCACACACCATGGTTGGCCAAGCTTGCATTCTGCAAAGGATAATTATAACATTAATGCAGAGCAGGGCCATTTAATCCCATTTTAAAGATAGGGAGGTTGGGTAGTAGTGGCTTCCCTAAGCCAGTCACTAGGGTCTAGCTAAACTGACCCTTGAGTGGAGATTTCTAGCTTAAAACAACAACAACAACTTTCTCCCACTCCTTTTCTATTCAGGGCTAGTCTCAGTAGGCTCCCCTATGTATCAGTTGTGCACATATCTGTGATCTTCCTTCTATTTTGCTTTGGTGTCTTCACTGGGCTAACCATAGTCTTGGAACAAACACCAATTTGGGTTTCCCTTGGATTGACATTTGCTCCGACTGAGCTTTAAAGAGCGGGTTTTTGCAGGGAAAGCTCTGGAGCAAATAAAAGGGGCACTCAGAGAGCTTTAAATTGCGGGTCATGCCTGGAAAGCGCAGAGGAAAGGTAAGTGTGGATAAGCCCTAGTTCCTTTTCAGCCTTCCTGGTCTTTGGCACGGAGTAGTCTTGCAGGTAGCAGCTCCTGTTGTTGTTTGAGTAATCTTAGGTGCATGTAGAACGCTGCCGGTTTGCTTCACTGGAGTGCCATGATTTTAGTGTTGGCACTGAATTGCAGGGTTTAAATGTTACCTATCTGCCTTCGGATGCCTTGGTGGTACCTTTGAAGACTTTGGGAAGGATGCAGAGCAGGGCCTGAGCTGACAACCTTAAATAGCAGTTGAAACAACGAACAGGTTGATGATACAACGACTACTGCAATGGACACAAGATAATATCACCAAGGCAACTATCTGTAAACAAACACTAAACGTCCATAAAAAAATGGCAAAAGTAGTTTCTTTCCCAAATAGGTTTTATCTTAAACAATTGCAAACACAGTAATTAAAGAGTCCACTTGTCATATATCAGTGGTTCAGTGCTCATTTCTTCTCTTTCCAAAATATATTTTATCTTGAACAATTGCAAACGCAGTAATAAAGAGTCCACTTGTGTTATACCAGTGCTCGGACGTCGTTCTGGTAATCCGACGTTTCGTTGCTAAAGAGCTTAGTCACTGAGCTTTGTAGTAAATAATATACAAAAGAGGACAGTATGTAAGCGACTTAAAGCAGGGTTAGGTGTGTCTCCATCTGCATGTTTATATTGGGAGGAGCATAGAAAGAGGACAATGTCCTTCAGTATGTTAAACCTGCCTGTGAGCAGGCAGGCTCACAAAGGAGCAGTGCCAGCACCCTGAATTGGCCTGGAAGCAAATGGGAAGCCTGTGCAATTATTTGTTTCATTCATGAATCACTCCACACAAGGCATCTCTAAAGGATATAATGGCACACAGTATATTAAAGCAGGTAGAAACAATTGCATATAAAAACAATATAAAAACAATAACTACTATAATTTTTTTTTTAAAAAAAACCAGTTTAAAACAACAATATTGATTCAGATCCAGAACAGTTGGAATAAAGGTGTTTGAAGGCTTGTTGGAAGAGGAACGTCTTCAGCTGGCGCTGAAAATGGAGAAAGTTCCTGTCTATGTACAGAAGTTGTCACCATGTTGGTATTCTGTGCTTCAGCATTGGGCTTATATGTTAGTTGACGTGTAAGCTGACACATCAGCTATTAGTTGAATATCTTCCCCTGTTATGCGCAGAGGGAGATAGCTATGGTCATTGTTGTTTAGTCATGTCAGACTCTTCTTGACCCCATTGACCAGAGCACGCCAGGCACTCCTGTCTTCCACTGCCTCCCGCAGTTTGGTCAGACTCATGTTGGTAGCTTTGAGAACACTGTCCAACCATCTCGTCCTCTGTCGTCCCCTTCTCCTTGTGCCCTCCATCTTTCCCAACATCAGGGTCTTTTCCAGGGAGTCTTCTCTTCTCATGAGGTGGCCAAAGTATTGGAGCCTCAGCTTCAGGATCTGTCCTTCCAGTGAGCACTCAGGGCTGATTTCCTTAAGAATGGAGAGGTTTGATCTTCTTGCAGTCCATGGGACTCTCAAGAGTCTTGTCCAGCACCATCATTCAAAAGCATCAATTCTTCCGCGATCAGCCTTCTTTATGGTCCAGCTCCCACTTCCATACATCATCTATGGTCATAGAATCATAGAAGTGAAGAATTGGAAGGGACATCTAGTCCATCCCCCTGCAATGCAGGAATCCCAGCTAAAGCATCCATGACAGATGACCGCCACCCTGCCACCCTTGTGCACACTGTGTCCCTTGGGTTGCTTGCCATACAGCGGCTCCTGCTGATCAGCATGCAAATTTGCTTCTTCCCCTTCCCTGACCTCCTATCTCTGGGCTGTAAAACTCTTTAGAGCAAAGGTTTATGCTTAAGTTATTTGTAAAGCTCCCAGCCAGCCCCGTTTTAATGGAAGCAATTAAAGGTTGACAGAGCAACAGATTTACTCAATGCTAACTTAGGAGTCTAATCCATTGGAAGATGGCTTACCAGACACCTAGCTTTCTTCACAATGCATGCTGGTTTGTGCCCTTCTCCACATACCAACAGTCTTGCAGATCTCCATAATAAAAATTATGCACATTAGTGCAAAAAAGAAAAGAAAAAATTACTTTTTTTTCTTTCCTACTACTACATGTTTACCCAGGTAGGTTTAGATCCTAAGGCATTTATCATAATTTCACAATGCACTTCGGTACAGTAATGTTTCATTACACTATATTGCATTGCTATGGTATATCAATAATTTCATAATCTTTGGCCATTTGAGTAGTTTTGGAACCCACACAGCCAACACTGAACCATCTCAAAAGCAATGCCACCACTTTTGAATTGGGCAGTTGTGAAACTTGCAGTAGCTTTAAAATCAGGTACCTTTTACAACAAGAAAAGCATCGTGCAAGCAGAATCGGCAGGTGCTACATGCCTGTCTAAGAAGCATCTTGAAAACTTCAAGGGTGCCACATTTCTGCAAATAGGATAAAATGGGAGGAATTTGACATTGTGCTAAAGTGGTGGTTCTAACAGGGTGAACATTTTAGCTTGCTAAATGCTCTCCTAACCCCCAGAGGCAATTTTGAAGGGCTGGGCTGGGATGAAGTATTTATTTCCTCTTTAAAAAATATTTAAAATATGTTGGGCTGATTGGCAAGAGGTTAGCGGGACGAAAGTAGAACTTTGAGGGTTGCGATATTCTGGGAAATGGGTTTGCTTAATGCAGTGAAGCTGTGGGAGTGTTGTTGGTTTTTTTTGTTTCAAAACAAAGGCTCTTCTTTGGACTGAGTAGGACATCATCTCCAGTTATATCTAGCCAAGAGGACATTTGATTTTAGTTGCCAAGCCTGCCTTTCCATGTGCAAAAAGGCACAGTCTTATTTATTTATTTACCTTTTGTTTACCTGCTTTAAGTGGCCAGACATTTGCTTCTACCATTTAAGTGCAGTTTAATGAACTAATTGTGCCCGTTCTTGGAAAGACCTGGGGTTTTAAGCGCGGCAGCTTCACTGCGGTGAATAAATTATAGAGCGCCTCACGCCTGGGTCTTTGTCCATCTGTACAATTCTTGAGCAGCATGACCTTCCCCGTTGTTTCTCCATTGTGCTCTGGCTGAGAGCTTGGAGAGCTCCAAGAATCTCGTGCTGCCAAGTCGAATGTTATGAACGGCGCTTTCCCTCTTTTAGGGCTTACTTGGATAAAGATGTCGCTGTGTCTGAGGAGCTTGTCCAAAAATACAGCCATATGGTGCTTGGCCACTTCAACAACACAGTTAAGGAGCTCAGACGCCTCTTCCTAGTGGATGACTTGGTGGATTCGCTAAAGGTAAGAGACTTCCATTATTTTCAACCTTTCCGGAGTATATACTTGCAGAAGGGGAGGGAATCTCGTCCAGGTTGACCTGAAGGAACATCTGGTGTTTGTCAAATGCAGTAAGGCATGTGAGGCGGGCAGGGATGTGGCTGTATGGTTTTAGGGCAGGGATGGCGAACTGTGCCCTTGCTTTGGATGTTGTTGGGACTCCAGCTCCCATCAGCCCCAGCCAGAAGGGGTGATGGGAGTTGTAGTCTAGCAACACATGGAGGTCAACAAGTTCCCCACCCACACGTTAGAGGTTCTAACGACCACCGGGGGTATGTGGGCCTATTTGGATTTCAGTTCCTTTAGTGTAGTGGTTAAGAGCGGTGGACTCATAATCTGGTGAACCAGGTTCGCTTCCCTGCTCCCCCACATGCAGCTGCTGGGTGACCTTGGGCCAGTCACACTTCTCTGAAGTCTCTCAGCCTCACTCACCTCACAGAGTGTTTGTTGTGGGGGAGGAAGGGAAAGGAGAAGGTTAGCCGCTTTGAGACTCCTTAGGGTAGTGATAAAGCGGGATATCAAATCCAAAATCTTCTTCTTCTTCAGTATTTATGCCTATTCTTAAATTAGGCAGGCATATTTGAAATTTGCTGCTTTAGAAACAAGGTTCGTCTGTATTAATTGACTATTGGGCCAGAAGCAGGAGTCTTGGGATGTTTCCATACTAATTATTTAAGGTGGAACTGCCATGGTTTGATCACAGTTTGGGTGGGGGGCACCCACACAACAACATCATTTAGTATTTTTGATATTTGTCTTGCGTCTGAATTCCTAGTCCCATCTTTATCAGTGCCCCTTCCCAGTTGAGGAAGGCTGCTTTAGAGCTGCTCTTCTGCCTTTTTAAAAGGGCAAATTTTGAACATGAGTTTGAACCTGTCACATGTCAGCACACATTCATTATAAAATTTGTGGTGGGTGCCATTTCATGACCATGATTTTGACTTTTAATCCTTTCATTATTGCTAAAAACACTTCCCCACCTATTTTTTTTTATAAAAAGGATATTCAGCACCATAATGCTATGATGTTTGTGGTTTAATTATTTCCACTTTATAGTGTTATGGTGTTTGAACTCCATTGCACCATACTACCGAAACTGGCATAATAGCATTATGGCGTTACAAGGCTTTCATTAAAGAAAAGTTACAGCTGGAAAAGGATTTCAGCAATTTGAAGCACTGGCTTTTAAAAATGTATGGGGGTCATTAAAAATGGCACCCACCAAAAAACGTTGTGAATGTGTGTTGTACTTCAGATGGCCCCCACCCATGGATTCTGTGCAGACAGTATACGATGTTGTAAACATTGACAAAGCATAATACTTCCAATAGAATAAAAGTCTTTGATCCAACTGGCAAAAGAGGAAGAAGAAACCCTCTGATATGAAAAATTAATTTCAACTGTCAGTCAAGTCTTCATTCTTGCCCTGAACAAGGGAATATTCTGCAGTTCCTTTCCAGCTCATTGATTTAGCATTCTGCCGATCTTTCATGCTTCAAAAGACTTGCATAACCACGTAGGTTTATATGAAGAGGAGCACGTAGGAAGTGCTTCTGAAATGGAAGATAGCTTGGATATTTTCTTTACCCATCTAAAACCATGATTGGTTTCAAATCTAGGCTAGAGTAGCTGATACCGTAGGGCTGTGGACTTGACACCTTTAATATTTAACCACTTATTTTCTTATTTAACTACTTTATTTTCCATCTGCAAAAAGGCCACCTTAGAGTGCATTTAAATGCCACTTTACAACTTCTTGCTACTGGATAATTCCAGTTGAGAGGTTGATGATCTGAGCAAAGTTTTCCAGTGTTGGTATAGCCACTTCTATGGGAGTCTTCAACAGCCCTGGGGGAGGATCAACTGTCTCCTTATCAGAAAATTTGAGTTACTACCTGACACTGTTGATTGACTGAAGCCTATCTGTTTTCCTTTACTGACTTATAGAATTTGCTCACTGGTGACTTTGGGGTGTTGAAATTTCAACTCCCTGACTTGGTTCAATTGCTGGTGTTGCCTAAGCAAGATTCAAGCCAGTGTCCCCTCTTGCTCTGCTGAATGCTTTCTCCCAGCAGTCAGCAGCATAAAGCAAGACTGAAGCAACACATTCCTAAAATGTAAAAGGAAATTCCTGAAGGATGGTTCTGTGGAACTCAAGATGCGTTGGAACAAAATAAAACCTTTAGCATCATTTTGTTCTCCCCACTGCAGTTGTTTGAGGCTTAAGAACACCAGAGGAATCCTGCTGTATAAGACTAGATACCTCTCTACTCTAGCATTCCAGGTCAGGGATGGTCAACATGGTATCCTCCAGATGTTGCTTGACTACATCTCCCATCACCATTGACCATTGGCTGTGCTAGCTGGAGCTGCCAGGATGGGTGGCGCTGTGGGTTAAACCACAGAGCCTAGGGCTTGCCGATTAGAAGGTCGGCGGTTCGAATCCCCGTGACGGGGTGAGCTCCCGTTGCTCGGTCCCTGCTCCTGCCAACCCAGCAGTTCGAAAGCACGTCAAAGTGCAAGTAGATAAATAGGTACCACTCCGGCGGGAAGGTAAACAGCGTTTCCGTGTGCTGCTCTGCTTCGCCAGAAGCAGCTTAGTCATGCTGGCCACATGACCTGGAAGCTGCACACCGGCTCCCTCAGCCAATAAAGCGAGATGAGTGCCGCAACCCCAGAGTCAGCCACGACTGGACCTAATGGTTTTAACATCTGGAAGGCCATCAACCCAAAGTTGATTTAGAATCTTTTCATGCTGAGGTTCATATTGTGTGTTCCCCCTCCCCCCACAAAGGGAAGAAGATATTTCTCTGAAGTGTGTGGAGTTTTTTTATTAATGACTTTTGGATGAGTTTTCTCTGTGGTTTGCAGTATCTTTGGCATCCCACCCTCTTCTGGGGAAAGGCCTGCGGTCAGCCATATTTAAAATGCCGAAGAGGGAGTGGAAACTGCCCCATTCCTTAAATTCGGAAACTCGGGCAGCCTAGGAGATGCCAGTCACATGTGCTGGAGGGATTGCTCAACAGTTTCCCAATACCATTTGCCTGGTGATGATGGCAGATCAAAAGAACTCCCAGCTATGCAGTGATGGCAAAGTACAGGAGCAGGAGGTTTGCTGAAAAGTTTTCTGTCATACTGTGATTTTATCAAGACCTGCTGTAGCGATTGCAGCACAGTATAAATTCGCCAAAACATATGGCCCAGCCAGTCTTATTCTGCCACAGGACTCGCTCCTATCTTTAGTATCTCCAAACTGTGTTAAGGGGTCAGCTGTTCAGTGTTGGGTTTGGGGTTGATTATTTTTCTTGCTAAATATAGTAAGAGTCACTTAAGGAGGCATATAACAGATCACATATTGGTTTAACGCAGCCTTTCTCAACCTTGGGTCCCTGGATGTTGTTGGACTACAACTCCCATCATCCCGGGCCACTGGTCCTGGTTGCTAGGGATGGTGGGAGTTGTAGTCCAACGCCATCCAGGGACTCAAGGTTGAGAGAGGCTGGTTTAATGCCATTTAGCCCAATATGACAGGATTAAAAGCCTTAGGCGAAAGGGTCAAATGTGCCCCTCCATGACATTTGGTCTGGCCCTTGGAGTTCTCCCCAGGTTACACTCCTCATTGCTTTGCTACACACCCTCTCTTGCCTGGCTGGAAACTCTGGAAATGCCTCTTTCTTGTTGATGGAAGATAGAGGTGTGTGTGTTGGGGGTGTCTGCTTCCTGTAGTGGCCCCCATGCTCTGGCTAACTATATGGCAGAGCCATATGGGCAGGGATGATTCTGCAATGCTGTGTTGTCATGAGTTCATGTAACTGAGCCTGCCTGGTGGACTGACTTTCCTGTAAGATGCACCCTGTCCTATCTCAGAAGAATTCTTGCTTAAGCTTACAGCCTTAAAAAGAAGAAGACATACAAGGGCCCTTGCCTGGAAAGAGATTTAGGTATCTTATCTGAGCCTTAACATCTGCTAAGACTTGCAGCCGGTTCTGAGATAGGCCAGAGTACTGCAGAAACAGCCCTTTGCCCATAGTTGCTGTATAAGTAAGACTTCTATGCAGTTTCTGAAATAGTGGTTGATTTTTTAACAACAACAACTCCCTAGTGGCTCTTAAGCAATGTGATGAGCAGCCACGTTGCAGGGAAGGCGAGGTTTCTAACCCTTTGGAGGAAAAGGCAAGCTTACGCACCAGAAAATGTTTTGTTATGGATGTGCGGAATGACCTGGCCTTGTCAAAGACTCTGTAGGCCTCAGATTGTGGTATACACGCGGGGGGTGGGGACCTCAGGCTCTGTGTTTGTGTGAACAAGTGATTGCAGCCCTCCAGGACTGTCTAACCTCACTGGCCTTTCTCCACACACTCCTTGAGTGCTTTTGTCTACCTGGAATGTGGCCTTGAAGAATGGAAAGGGCTACGTGTAAAACCTCTGGTGTTTCTGTGACTGGAATGCATCCTTCTATGCCAAGGAGTTTTCGTGCATTCCCTACTTTTGCATCTGGCCACACCTTCTTTCCCCTTTTGCTGACATGTGGCCTCTGCAAGGTTGTCCGTGGTGGTGGTGATGATGATGATGATGATAATAATAATAATAATTTATTATTTATACCCCGCCCATCTGGCTGAGTTTCCCCAGCCACTCTGGGCGGCTCCCAATCAAATGTTAAAAGCAATACAGCATTAAATATTAAAAACTTCCCAAAACAGGGCTACCTTCAGATGTCTTTTAAATATAAGATAGCTACTTATTTCCTTCACATCTGAAGGGAGGGTGTTCCACAGAGTGGGTGCCACTACCGAGAAGGCCCTCCGTCTGGTTCCCTGTAACCTTACTTCTCGCAATGAGGGAACCGCCAGAAGGCCCTTGGTGCTGGACCTCAGTGTCCGGGCTGAACGATGGGGTTGGAGACGCTCCTTCAGGTAAACAGGTAACATGGTATTCAGGTAACATGGCCCTCAGCCCGAGAAGGGTTCCCTTTCCTTGATAAATGCCACCAAGTTCTATCTGATGCATTTTCTTGTCGGTGCTTCCCAGGGTGCTGTGTACGTCGTGCTTTTAAGGCAAAAGTACTGTGCCAAGGCAAGAATGCATAATCTTAAATCTACATAGAAGCCTCTCCCAGCAGCCCCAGGTTGCATGCAGTGGTCAGAGATGAAGGGAGGTGCAGACCAGCAGCATCTACAGGGCCACAGGTGTACTGCTGCCGGCTTAAGCATTCAGCAGGAGCCTCTGTTGCAGGTGCTGCAGCCAGTGGAAGAGGAAAAGGGGTATTAACTGGACATGGGCCTTTGGGTTGCTGGCGCTTTGTCACCAGTATCCATTTAATAGTGACATTACCAGCATTGCAGGTGCCAAGCGAAAGCTTCTTTATATTCTCCTTGGGCAGTGTTTCTCAAACTTGGGTCCCCAAGTTTGTTCCTGGACCACAACTCCCATCATCCCTAGCTAGCAGGACCAGTGGTCAGGGGTGCTGGGAGTTGTAGTCCAGGAACAACTGGAGACCCAAGTTTTTTGGGGGTAGACTCAGGATACATTTGGTTAACCAAGGGTCACAAGCAGGGGTTTCTTAAAAGGTAAAGGTAAAGGGACCCCTGACCATTAGGTCCAGTTGTGACCGACTCTGGCGCTCATCTCGCTTTATTGGCCGAGGGAGGCCGCGTACAGCTTCTGGGTCATGTGGCCAGCATGACTAAGTCACTTCTAGTGAACCAGAGCAGTGCACAGAAACGCCGTTTACCTTCCCGCTGGAGTGGTACCTATTTATCTACTTGCACTTTGACGTGCTTTCGAGCTGCTAGGTTGGCAGGAGCAGGGACCGAACAATGGGAGCTCCCCCCGTCGCGGGGATTCGAACCGCCAACCTTCTGATTGGCAAGTCCTAGGCTCTGTGGTTTAACCCACATTGCCACCTGCGTCCCAGGGATTTCTTAGAATGCAAGAATTGAGAGATACAGGGTGTATGGGAAAACAGTGCCATTGAGTCTTTGGATAAACTCTTGCTAATTTGCCATTTTTTACTACTTTTTAAATGCATTGCCGAACTTTTTTTTTAATTAACTCAGTTCATAGTTATATCTTAAAGGCTTGTAACCTACTTCGAACATTATCCAATAAAAAAGAAAACCCAGCCCAAGTAATAAATGCTTCTAAGTAAATGATTGTGCAAATGTGCTCTTAGTCATTTTGTTCAGAGAGCCCTTCCCCTACTGAATGTTTTGCCCTCAGATTAGCAGTGGGAATCAGCTGACCTGGGAACTCTCACCCACCACCCCACAGGCAACACATTAGTGATTCAGCACTTCCAGGTCACACCCCCCACACCCCTGCCCTTCTTACTTGGCAAGTAGATCTTAAACCCTCTGGGAACTAGTAGGGCTCTATCTCATCCTGGGACACGTTGGTCTCGTTCCCTTATTTCTCATGTTACATTTGGAATAGTAAAGGGGATTCTCCACCACCTCCTGCAGTTTCACGTGGTTGGGGTTTCGGGTTTGCAATTAACTAGTTGCTTAGGAAAGGTAAACATTTTGCCTCCGAACAGCCCTCCTTGCTTCCTCTCTCAAGTCCTAAAGAGCCACCAGTTCCTTGAGAAAAAAGACCACAGACCAAGTTGTTTCTCAAGTTCAGTCCCTGGTAAGCTGGGCAGAAAGGATGTCAAGTTAGCAGGACCAAAAGAGACTCAACGCACTGCTGTAAACCAAGCCAGACCACTCGTCCATCTTGCTTAGCGTTGTCTGCACTGACTGGCAGCAGCTCTCCAGGGTTCCAGGCAGGGCTGTCTCCCAGCCTTACCTGTATGTGCCAGGGAGCGTCTACATGCAAAGCAGATGTTCTACCATGGATCATGGCTCTTCCCCAGCTCCCTGCCTGAAATAATGGAGAGCTGCTGGGCTGAATGGACTGGTGCTTTGACACAGCAAGTGGGAACTGTGCACATCCACAGCTCTGCAGTTAAAGATTTTGCAAAGCTGCTTCCCCCCTTCTAGACATAAGACTGGAGATGGGGAGCCTGTGGCTCTCCAAGTGCTACTGGACTCCAACTCTCATCAGCTCCCTTCCGGCGAAAGAAGAATGGAGGATGAAGTTGATGGACTATGCAGAATTAGATAAATTAACAGGAAGGATTTGAAACCTGAAACGTGCGAGATCAGAGATTCTTAGAAGACTGGAGTAAATATTTGAACTATTTGAAAAGTAATTGTGATGAACAGATTACGCTAGTAGGACTGCAAGAAGTTTTGTAAGGTGGATTATTTGAAATATTGCAAGAAAGACTATGAAGAGAATTATTAGTTAAGGACAATTAAATGCAATATAGAAATTAAGAAATGCAGAATAAGTGATAAAGAATGGAAAATCATCAGAGGTGTTGACGGAAGTCTAAAATATTGTATAAGATGAGAAGTTATGTTGTATGTCTGTTGGAACTGATATGTAAACAAATTAATAAAAGTGTGTGTGTGTGTGTGTGTGTGTGTGTACTCTCTCTCTCTCTCTCTCTCTCTCTCTCTCTCTCTCTCTCTCTCATCAGCCCCCAGCCAGCATGGCTAATAACCAGGGATGGCACGAACTGTAGTCTAGCATCAACTGGAGGGCCACAAATTGGCCACTGCTACTGAAGACAACCTTAACCCCACTCCTCCCATTAGCACTAGATCACAAAGAACCAAGGCAGCCTTAACGGCTGCCACCATCTAATTTCTGTGTTCTGGGAACAGAAGCTTACAGTGTCTGGGAAGTGGAACGCCAGGAAGGAGGCTGCAGTGGGTGGTGGTGGAGAGAACAAAGGTTTTGTCCTACGTCAGTGGTTTTCAACCCATGTGCTGTGGCACCCTGGGGTGCCTTGAATGATAGTCAGGGGTGCTGTGGGCAACACTGGTCTCTGTCCCTCTGTCCTTCCCTCCCTCCTCTGATGCCCTCTCACATCTCTGCCTCCCAAAGGCTTGCACAGCTGTTAGTTGCAGCAGTGCTGGCTGCAAGCTACCCAGGTGAATGATGCCCCTGGCGCTGGCCAGGGGGTGCTTCCCAGGCCCTGGTGGGGCAGTGTGAGGAGGCACATCTCTTTGGGGCAAGGAGGGTGCAGCTCAGAGACCAGAGGCGGCAGCTGCGGCTGCCCAGAGGACTCCCAATGAGAGGGGGGAGGAGAGGCGGCTGGGTGAACACTTCAGAAGGGAGGGTGTTCGAAAAAGGGTGAGGGGCTGCCGGCTCTGCAGGCAAGGGGTGACGTAACTGGGCTCCTGAGGCTCACAAGGGCACCACAGAAAGAATGTAGTTGGTCAAGGGAGCCGTGGACCCAAAAAGGTTGAAAGCCTCTGCCCTACGTAATATATATCAACCTTGCTTGCTGCTTGGAGGGTATCTTGCTAACGAAACATTCCCATGTGCTAAGAGCAGCTCATGGTGATCTTAAGTGCATGGAAGTAGCATAGGGAAGTTTCTAATGTGTTGTGGTTTGCTTTGGGTTTTATGATTTGCTGGAAGCCGCCCAGAGTGGCAACCCAGTCAGATGAGTGACATATAAATAAATTATTATTATTATTAGCCCTAAATCTAATGGCACAGGGCCTGTCTCATTGCTTGTACTTGAACCTCTTCTGTGGTCGAAATGGCCACACTAACCACAAGGAGATGGAGCAGACCTGAAATCCTATGAGACACTTCGTCATTCTCAGCACGGCCAGGGGACCTCAAAGCTAAAGTCTGTGGGATCCCATTACACGTCCTTTTGGCTATAATTATCTCTGACATACGAAGGCTGGAGCGCTGCCTTTTCACTGCCTGATCTTTCCATGCTGCCTCCAGTGAAGGCCACCTGAAGAGTCGGAACAAGTGCCAAATTGCCACGGGGGATGCTGCTGCTGCTGCGAGTGACATTCCCATGTCAACTTTCCCCATTTTCCACATGCAAAGCTTTAGAATGGCTTACTTGGGGAGTCTCCCATCACTTGGGGAGTCTCCAGCCACCTCCACTCCCCACGTAGCAGCCAGCCCATGGCAACTGCAAAGCCTACTTGAGCTCTAATCAATGGTCCACATTCTGACTTCCTACTCAGCTTTCTCTTTTTTTCTTCCAGTTTGCCGTGTTGATGTGGGTGTTCACCTACGTTGGTGCCTTGTTCAATGGTCTGACATTGCTGATACTGGGTAAGTTGGCCCTCTAGACTACGTTGCACCTAATAACAAAGCATTCTGTGAGAAAAGCAGTACGTCGTCGCGATTTTGGTGTCACGGCACAACATGATGCCGAGGCGTCAGAGCAAATCGGCAAAGGCTGCAGAGATTTTGTGGGTAAAATCGTAGAAACGTCATGTTTTAATCTGTGGGGTTTGCAGAGGAGGGCTGGTTCCATTGCTTTTGACTTGATCACAGTCATTTGCTTGATGTGCCAATAGTAGCGATCAGGATCAGTATTCTTACAGGGCAAAGTAAGGGGAAGGCTGCAGCTCAGTGGCAGAGCATCCGCTTTGCATCCAGAAGGTCACAGGTTCAATCCCTGGCATAGACCTGCAGTATAGGGCAGTATATAAATTCAACCCATCAGCCTCCGAATAGAGCTGTGCAAGATTCCTTGCCTGAAACCTGCAGCCAGCCACCGCAGATGATACTGAGCTATGGTCTGACCTAGTTTAAGGCAACTTCATGGAATCATAGAAGGAACCACAAAGTACCATCTCTTCCAACCCCTGCAATGCAGGAATCCTGCATGGCCCTGAGATTAAGAGTCTCGTGCTCTACCAACTAAGCCAGTGTTTCCCAACCTTGTGCCTCCAGCTGTTTTTGGCCTACAACTCCCATCATCCCTGACTAGCAAGACCAGTGGCAAGGGATGATGGGAATTGTAGGCCAAAAACAGCTGGAGGCACAAGGTTGGGAAACACTGAACTAAGCTATCTTAAGTAGCTCAGGTGAGTGCATAGGTGTCTGGATGATGTATCTGGGGACCTTGCTTTGCTTGTCCAGCTCAACATCACATGCCCAGTCATTGTTTGGGGGGCGCTGCATCCCATATTCACAGAATGCAGAGGCTGCTGCCTGTTGCAAGGGCTATTTGCAGCAGCCTCGTATTTTTGTTTTAGCCTGGAATCGCACACCTTACTTCAGGGGTCAGCAACCTTTTTCAGCCGTGGGCCAGTCCACCATCCCTCAGACCATCTGGAGGGCCAGACTGTATTTTTTTGGGGGGAAATGAACGAATTCCTATGCCCCACAAATAACCCAGTAAAAGGTAAAGGGACCCCTGACCATCAGGTCCAGTCGTGACCGAGTCTGGGGTTGCGGCTCTCATCTCGCTTTATTGGCCGAGGGAGCCAGTGTACAGCTTCCGGGTCATGTGGCCAGCATGACTAAGCTGCTTCTGGCGAACCAGAGCAGTGCACGGAAACGCCGTTCACCTTCCGGCCAGGTAAAGGTAAAGGTACCCACCAGAGCGGTACCTATTTATCTACTTGCACTTTGACGTGCTTTTGAATTCCTAGGTTGGCAGGAGCAGTGACTGAATTCCTAGGTTGGCAGGAGCAGTGACTGAATTCCTAGGTTGGCAGGAGCAGTGACTGAGCAATGGGAGCTCACCCTGTCACGAGGATTCGAACCGCCGACCTTCTGATCGGCAAGTCCTAGGCTCTGTAGTTTAACCCACAGTGCCACCCACGTCCCTTTAAATAACCCAGAGATGCATTTTAAATAAAAGCACACATTCTACTCATGTAAAAACATGCTGATTCCTGGACCATCCGTGGGCCAGATTTAGAAGGCGATTGGGCCCATCTGGTCCCTGGGCCTTAGGTTGCCTATCCCTGCCTTCCTTGATCTTTTCTGCATCCCTGCATTTGCATACACTTACGGATGTTTCTTGTGTTGTGTTCCCCCCCGCATCCCATTCCAGCTCTGATTTCGCTCTTCAGTATTCCTATTATTTATGAAAAGCACCAGGTGAGTACACGGTGTGGCGCATATTCCCTGACAACTCTGCCAAAAATGTGATGGTTAATTGGGACGATTAAGAGTAAGTTGTGTACCAAAAAAGATTTGAGAGAGCTCTGCAGAACACAATCCCACCTCTTCTCCTGTTGATCTACTTAGCCGCTGCTGTTCCTAGTGCTCAGCTGGGGTTATGTAAGTCCCTGGAGGGTGTCCCTCTTAAGCTGACTTGGCAGGCTTTCCTGGTTGGGAAACTACTTTGGAGCTGATCAACTCCAAATGACCTGCTTTAGAGACGCTGGGAGGCAGAGAGCTAGGTTGGAGGGGGGCAAGACTTTCAGAGAACAGGCTAGCAAAAAGAGCAGAGCACCATTTCAAGTAAATAGATAGTGGGTCCCCTCTGCCCCAATACATGGATAAATTCCTCCTAGACCACATTTCAAAAATTGGAAATCCAGACACAAAAGTTGTTGAGCCCTGATCAACAGTGGCTTCAAATTTATATTTTACTTGGTGGGCCTACAAGGAAGCTTGACAGGCATAAACTTACAGACACCCTCTACGAGACACTGAGAATTGTATTAAATTTGCCTTAATTTGTGGATGATTTGGGAAAATTGGGAAAATCAATAAAAATGATTGGGGGGGGGGAAGGCACTGAAGATTTTGCAAATCTTTAAAGCATCAAAAATCCTATACTAAATGGGATTGCACAGCTCTGAAATAGATAAACATACAGAAGGCATGATCTACTCTCAAGGCATAGTGGAATAGGGATCAATGTTCCTTTTTTGTTAGGGTGGCGGGAAACCTCTGTCCCTGGTTATGGGGGGAATGTTGAGCAGAAAGTGATGGTGATACATGGTGATTTCCTGTGTTATTGAAATGGTAATTCACCCTTGTGTCTTTACTTGCCAGGTTCAAATTGACCATTACCTGGGACTTGTGAACAAGAATGTCAAAGATGCAATGACAAAGTGAGCATATAGAATTTTGAAGATAATTTTAAAGTAGCTGATACCTTTCAATGTTATTTTTAGTGAGAGATTACGTGTGTGTGTGCACGCGCGCACGCACACACACACACACACACACCTCTTTCAAGGCCCTGTAATCTGGAATTCTCTCCCCAGGGGAGGCACACCTGGTGCCTTCATTGTTTGTAAGTAAAAGCATTTTTACTTACTCAAGACTTTAGAGTTTAACTCTCAGCTTATTTTTTTAAAACGTGGTGGGGGTTCAGTTAGATTTGCACTTTCAGACATATTACTGTATTTTCGCTTGTTTTTGGTCTTCTTTTTAATCTTTGTTTTTGCAAGTCACTTTTTTGAGGGGGGGAAGCAACTGATAAATATAATAATCTCACACAGCAGAGAGATGAATGTGAGCTGAATGAGCATCTTAAACTTGTGCTTCTTGTAATTTTCAAAACTACCATCTATGGATGACTTATCACTCTATTTGAGGTTGCAAAGAAAAGTATTCTCAGGTCAAAACTGAAATTCACTAGAGCCTCTGGGTTTCTGTGTGACACCTCTCTCTCTCTCTCTCTCTCTCTCTCTCTCTCTCTCCCCCCCCCCTCTGTTCTTCTGCTTCTGTTCTCCTTGATCAGGCACCCCCAAACTCAGCCCTCCAGATGTTTTGCCACTTCAACTCCTATCATCCCTAGCTAACAGGACCAGTGGTCAGGGATGATGGGAATTATAGTCCCAAAACATCTGGAGGGCCAAGTTTGGGGGTGCTTGCTCTTGATGGTCAGCACCCCAGTCTCTTTGCTGTGCAGCCTTTTTGTCCGCTTGGACGTTTTACACTGGACTACTTAGGTTGATTTGTTTGTTATATAAAAAATACTTGTCCACCCCAATTTGATAAATAAAATGTCAAAATCTAAGTGGTTTGCAGCAGGCACTGTACAATAAAAAACATAAAATCGGAGCTCATCAGCTAACAATTGCAGAAAAATGCTTTCTTAACTGGCAGGATAATTCTCTCTTTTTTAAAAAAAATAAATATTTTTATTAATTTTTACATAACATTTCCAAAAAACATACAACATATTTTCTTATCTTATTCAGTGTTTTGGACTTCCATCAACCACATCTGAAGATTTTTCAATCTTTATCACTTAATCTGTATTTCATTAATTTCACTTACTTTTAATAGTCCTTCACTAATAATTCTATTCATACTTTTCTCTGCAATATTTCACATAGTGCTCCTTACAAAACTTCTTGCAATCCTACTAGCGTAATCTCTTGATTACAATTGCTTTTCAAATAATTCACATATTTACTCCAGTCCACTGAGAATCTCTGATCCCAGAGGTTTCGAATCCTTCCTGTCGTGTAATTCTGCATAGTCCATTAATTTCGTCTGCCATTCCTCTTTCGTCGGTAATTCTTCTTGTTTCCATTTCTGTGCCAATAGTACTCTAACTGGCAGGGTAATTCTCAGCCATCACTTAAAAGTTAAAACAGGAGATGCATGTTGAATTTCTGTTGGGAGAGCATTCCACACAGCTGGACCAATGCCACTTAGAGGCTTGGTTTTAGGTCAAATGAGCTTCACCGACTCTGGGGGGATTATGGGGTATCGGGGAAGGCAGGAGGCATAACATTTAAAACACCTTGTTTTTGTTTCTTTGCAGGATCCAAGCTAAAATCCCCGGATTGAAGCGCAAAGCCGAATGAAAAACCTAAAGCAACTTTTATTAAAAATAGGAGTTCATCTTTTAAGTGGGGAAGGGGAGGCATATTCATTTGGATTACGTGGGGAGGGTCAAGGAATAGCAAAATCCTTGACATTGCAGTGCAATTTCACAGATCTTTTATTTTTTAGCAACGCAGTGTTTTGAGGCGGGGGGAAATAACCTGTTCTTGACTGCCATGTGTGTTCATCATAGGTATTGTAAGCTGCTATGTATGGATTTAAACCTAATCCTCTTTTGCTTCTCCCGTGTGCAGCACTGGTTAACATAACAGATTGGAGAGCTGTACATTTTATGCTTCAGCCAAGGTAGTCTTGCTGCGTTTCGAGACAGCGCAGTGCCGCTGGAGTGCAGGGAGAGCATTTCAGTTTAGCACTGTCTCTGGTCTGTGTAGGTTGATTGCAGATTTTCTTTTAAAAAAAAAAAAGGAGAGAGATGTGTAGAAGAATATGCCATTAAAGCAAGCTTAAAAAGCCTTGCCCGTTTGGTATCGAGTGTAGCCGTATTGTGCTTTTTAATTTTACTGTTTTATCAATTGCCAATATAAAAGTTATATAAATATATATATATAGTGTTTCACAGCAGCTTAGGATGTCCAGCTCCTCCACAGTGCTTGGAATATCGGAGAACGGAACTGGGTTTTGTTTTGGGTTTTGTTTTAGCTCCATTTAGCTTAAATCTTCAGGAAAAAAACACTAGCATCTATTAAAGAAAGAAAACACCCAACTCTTCTTGCACATTACACAGTTTTCTGCCATAACTTTTGCTGCACAAACCTCCTATAGTCTATTTTGAGTAAATAAGTTTACAGCCTCTCAAAACTCTGGATCTGTGGAAGGAATTTCTGAAGGTGCAGCTCCCAAGATCCTTGCGAGGCTCTGGCAAGGAGTAACCAGCATGCTTGTTCTCCAATGTGCTCGGGATCCTCAGCGCCTGTGCATGGGTCAGCGTGTTGCGCCCCGATGCTGCAAATGTCGTTTGGAAATTTCGAACCTTGCGAATGCAAGAAATTGCAAATGAAAAAAAAAATGTATACACTTACGGTTCAAGCTGTATTAAACTAAGTCTGTGGAATGCATTGTGAAATGTAAAAACAAAACAATTTGAGTATCAATAAAGCGTATAGACTTAAATGGTGGTGTGCTGTCTAGCAAATCAAGCATGAGTGCAGGGACTGGCAGATTACAGGTGCACGAGTATTCAGCTTGAATGTTCGAATCCTCTCCACCAAAAAGTACCATATTTTTTGCTCTATAGGACACACCTGACCATAGGACGCACCTTGTTTTAGAGGGGGGGGGAAATCTCCCCCTCTCTGCGCAGTGCCCTTTCAGCGAAGCCGCGGGAGAAACGGAGCCCCTTCCATTTCTCCTCCCGCTTAGCTGAAGGGGCACCTACCCTTCAGTGAAAGGAACCCGAAGCCTCCGGAGCGCAGCGTGAACTCCCGCTGCGCTCCGGAGTCTTCAGGCGGCTATCCTTGAAGCCTGGAGAGCAAGAGGGGTCCGTGCGCACCAACTCCTCTCGCTCTCCAGGCTTCAGCGAAAGCAACGCGAAGCCTCTAGAGCGTGGCAGGAGCGCTCCCACTGCGCTTCGAAGGCTTCGTGTTGCTATCGCTGAAGCCAAGGAGCCTGCATTAGCTCCGTAAGACGCACACACATTTCCCCTTAATTTTTGGATGGGGAAATGTGCGTCTTATAGAGCGAAAAATACGGTGTGCTGAGTTGATGCATGGTGGTTGATTGGCACATGTACTTTGCCACTTACGGCTCCAATTAACTAGTGAAGAAATACTGCAATAAGTCCAGTTCAGACGACAGCTCCCAGCATCCCTGACCCCATTGTCCATGGCAACTGGGGCTGATGTGAGTTGAAAGGCAGCAGCATCTCGCGGACAACATATTGGCTGCCTCTGATTCAGTGTTCAAGATCAGGGGTCGGCAAGGTTTACCTCGCCTGGGCCGGTTCACTCCCGCAGAGATTGCTCTGTGGGCTGGATCACATCTGCACCGATGTGATTTCCGGCATCTGCACATACATGATTTTCTGCGCTGTGGAAGCGAGTCCCTGCTCCACGCTGCGCATGGGGACTCGCTGAGTAAGCGGCTTGGTTCAGGGGCAGCCCGTGGGCTGTTTAAACGACCCTCCCTGGGCTGCTTATGGCCCATGGGCCGCAAGTTGCCGACCCCTGTTCAAGATCATGTGACAAAATAAAGAGGCTGCTAGTGTGTGCCACTTCTATTCTCTTTTTAAAAAAATCATTTTTCCCCAGAAAAAGTATGTGAATGAGTCACTAGCTTTTATTTATCTGTTCTGGGAACTTTTGACAAATGAGATCTTTGCTGTCTACGATTAATGCTCTTAAGAAGAAGGGGCAGCCAGGCAAAGACCAGTCTCCTTGTTTTTGGTGTGCTGCAAACCTCGAATGAAAAATCTTGACACACAGCTGTTTTCAAATCATAAATCTTTTACTGGATCGCTTGAAAAATAAACTCATGCAAGTACTATTTGAATTTACATTATAATACAGCACCAGGTCTGAGCATATTGTTCCTAAAATCAAACCATATAAACAAATACAAACAAATCTCTTCCTGGCACACACACACACACACACTCTATTGCTCTTAAATATTTTTGCACAATTTCACTACATAGCAATTCATTCTGTCACATTTTTTTTTAATTTAAAAAAAGAATTAGGATACAATCAATATGAAAAGGCCAGCATTACAACATAGGCAAACAAGGTGACCATCTGACATCAACGGCTCGATATGATTACATTACACTGCCTAATACAGAAAGGCTTCCTTAACAGAGAAGAGTATGGGAATAAGACTGCATAGGGACCTGTGTGTCGGAAATCATAGAGGCATGTAAGGCATTAATATATTCTATTGATCGACTCTCGACAAATGGTAGCACTTTTGCACATTGATCCCCAATCCTACCCCTTTGGAGAATTCTCCAGTTTTATTTTGGCTCTCTCTTAAACCTGGGAGTGAGCTGCTTACCCGCGTGGCTTTCCTCAAGCAGAGCTTGTTGGAACAAAGATATTTGCACGTCAAACCTTGCTGCTTGTCCCTTTGCAGGGAGGCTATCTGTTTGCAGAGTATTGCTAGCGAAGGAGGATGCAGTGGCCTCGTTTCAGCAGCTGGTGGTGGCCCCTGCCTGACTTGGCGAAGAGGATAGGAGCCCTTTCCCTTCATTGGCCAGCTAACTATTGCAGCCTTAACCATAGCACCCGAACCCAGTAAGGTAAAGGTAAAGGGACCCCTGACCATTAGGTCCAGTCATGGCTGACTCTGGGGTTGCGGCGCTCATCTTGCTTTACTGGCCGAGGGAGCCGGCGTACAGCTTCTGGGTCATGTGGCCAGCATGACTAAGCCACTTCTGGCAAACCAGAGCAGCGCATGGAAACGCCGTTTACCTTCCTGCCAGAGCGATACCTATTTATCTACTTGCACTTGACGTGCTTTCGAACTGCTAGGTTGGCAGGAGCCGGGACCGAGCAACAGGAGCTCACCCCATCGCGGGGATTCGAACTGCCAACCTTCTGATCGGCAAGTCCTAGACTCTGTGGTTTAACCCACAGCGCCACCTGTGTCCCAGTACCTTGGGGCAAAAGGATCTTTCCATTTCCTCCCTGCAACTCCACTATAAAGTACAGGAAACTGAACCGGTAATCTTCCAAGTATAGGAGGCATGTTCTACCACTGCCATTGGATTTTTCTGGGTGAGGAAGAAAATTCTGCAGCTTCTTGGTCCCCTGCCTGAGAGCCTGTGTGTGTAGCTGCCGAGTTGTTTGCCAAATCTTTGGAACAAAGGTGGAGGAAGGTTTATTTATCAAAGCATTGCCATTATTGGCCCCGACCTAGAAACACAGCGGGAAAAGGTTCTTCTGAAAGTGGGAGGGGGCCAGAAAGAGAATAATCTCCCCCTTTTCCTTACGGAAACCTGAGTAGCAGTTGTCCAACATCCAGAGGACCACAAGGCCCCCATTCCTATCCTCAAGACTGTGTTAGATATGTTGCAGATTTGACAGGCAGACTTTCCTTGCACCCCACCCACTCTTGTTAAAAGAACCAGCTGAGACTCAAGTTAAAATACTGAGACAGATTAAATGCAAAAGAAGAGGGAATTGGAACATCGAGGGTGGGAGGGCAGGAGGGGGAAAGACTTTGTCAGCCCTCGTCAGTTGTGGAAGTTGTAGCACCGAGAGTAGAAAGCAGACACAGGCAGGAAGCCTGTGCCACTGGCAAAGCTTTCAAAAGGCACTTCATAGAAAACTGGCAAATGAACTTATTTTTAAAACCGGAAATATTTGGGGAGGGGAGGGGGGAATGATAATTTGGTCAGTATAAAATTAGCCATGGCTCAAAACTTTCTTTACTCTGAAGGCGTCCCTTGCCCAATAAGGTTTTCTAGTGGGTGGTTTCAAAATGGTTTGGTTTGGCATGAATACTTTTTAAAAATAATCTTCAAATCGCAACTCGTTTTGTTGGCAAAAAGGCTACTGACGCTTAAGTTTGCACTATGGGCTAGGCTTTGCAGATTAGGACACTTGATTTTCAGCAAGAGAGGTTTAGAATCAAAAATTTGGGAGGGATCCCCAAGAATCTAGTCCAACCCCCTGCAATGCAGGAATATCACCTGAAGCACCCATGACAGCCAGCCGTTAGCGCAAACCAAACTGGGCATCCTTCATCTTAAGGACCAAATCAATTACAGTATTTTTCCATCTATAAGACGCCCCCATGTATAATTTGGCCCCTATTTTGGGGGACTCAAAATTAAGAAAATTGGGGGGGAGATCTATCCGTGCATAAAGGTAAAGGTAAAGGTACCCCTGCCCGTACGGGCCAGTCGTGTCTGACTCTGGGGTTGCGCGCCCATCTCGCTTAAGAGGCCGAGGGCCAGCGCTGTCCGAAGACACTTCCGGGTCACGTGGCCAGCGTGACAAGCTGCATCTGGCGAGCCAGCGCAGCACACGGAAACGCCGTTTACCTTCCCGCTAGTAAGCGGTCCCTATTTATCTACTTGCACCCGGGGGTGCTTTCGAACTGCTAGGTTGGCAGGCGCTGGGACCGAGCAACGGGAGCGCACCCCGCCACGGGGATTCGAACCGCCGACCTGATGATCGGCAAGTCCTAGGCGCTGAGGTTTTACCCACAGCGCCACCCGCGTCCCTATGTCCCTATATTTTGGGGGGGCTTATCCGTGTATAAGCCCCCCCAAAAAACATTTCGGACATTATTTCTAAGGAAAAAACCCTAGTCTTATATATGGAAAAATACAGCAATTTCCCCTTCTTTCACAATGGTTGGGGGGTGGTTGTGGCATCCAGCGTAGGTGAAGTCTCACACATTTAGAATCTATGCAGCGTTTTGTAACAAAGCCGCCTGCTGAAGTCTTGGGAGGTATCCCTGTTTGGCACTCACGTGGCGGTGGTAGCAAGAGCGGCACTGGAGGAAACTGACCTTCAAAGGCATCGCCATACAAATACGCTAGAAAGGAAGAAATGTCAATTACCATCTGTGTGCACATGTGTGGTTGAAATAAAACTAACTGGCAACCTGGCTCTGCCCTCCAGCTTCCTTATCTGCACGGTTATTCTAATTCAAGAAATATACCCCATCCAGCAATACATACTATACAGCTGGACCTTGGAAGTCGAACGGAATCCGTTCCAGAAGTCTGTTCAACTTCCAAAATGTTTGGAAACCAAAGTGTGGCTTCTGATTGGCTGCAGGAAGCTCCTGCAGCCAATCAGAACATGCGGAACCCGTGTTGGATGTTCGGGTTCCAAAAGAACGTTTGAAAGCCGGAACGCTCACTTCCGGGTTCCGATTGTTGGGAGCCAATTTGTTCGGGAGCCAAGGTATGATTGTATATTAAAAATGAATCTCTACAGGCCATAAGACTTCAGCTGCATCCTCTCAGACCTAGAATTTGTTCATTACAGTCCGGCTAAGCCCTGTGCAAAACGGCATCTGCCCCATGCCAGACTCTTGCAGCTGTTTAGTGACTCAGATCCGCCCCACAAATTCCTTCCAATGACACAGGGAAGACAGTTGAATATGACTTGGGGCATTAAGGCAAGCCAGGGACATGAAAGACTTCAAATGTGAATAGTGACGGTTAACTTTTATTTTTATTTTTTACTAGTTTAACATTTCCATTTCTAACATGGAGGCTCTTTGATAATCGTTGCACCTCTCATTCTTGTAACAACCCAGACACGTTCGTTGCAATTTGGTAGATGAAGGAACAGAGGATGGCAGAGATATTGGCTTACCAGTGACCTGGGTTCACAAATCCAATTTTGCCCGCGTGCAACATTCAATCCGGGCTACCTAATGTCTCGAGCAATGCCCTTTGGTTTGCTTCCTACATGTTTACTGTAGCCGAGTTTAAGCATTTCCAACATTTCTTGCGACAGTAACAACTGTTCCGTTTATTTATGGCCTTCTCTTTAGAAGGGGCCCTGCTGCACCCCTCCTGCTGCTCAATGCTGTTTTCCTGGCTTGCAAGAGGAAACAGAAGTGGCGCAAGCACTATCCTCTCACCCAGTAGAGGGAAGGCAAGGGAGGGAGGGGGGCAAAAGCAGACGGATCAGGCCCAAATGTCTATTTTTCTGTAGACTGAGGGGTCCACGCCCTGACTGGGGGCCACATTTTTGTACAGTAGGCAAGTTTCTCCCTCGCCAGCCTCCATTCCGATGGGCAAGAAGCATGATCAGAATTCACATCCCAGCCAGATGGCGAAACCCAAGGAAGGTGCAGCCAGGGAGGATCAAGGGACCCGGCTGTGGAAGGGGCCTGGTCTGGGGAGAGTCGCAAGGACTGAGGGCTGCATGCGCCTCCCAAGCCTGAGGTTCTCCAGCCCCGCTCTGGAGGAATGGAAAAGAAGAATACAGTGGTACCTCCGGATGTGAACGGGATCTGTTCCGGAGCCCTGTTTGCATCCTGAAGCAAACGTAAGACGCAACTGCGCATCTGCGTGTGTGTGGATCACGTTTTGCTGCTTCCGCGCATGTGCGTGATGTCATTTTGAGCGTCTGCGCATGTGCGAGTGGCGAAACCCAGAAGTAACGTGCTCAGTTACTGACGGGTCGCCGCAGAGTGCAACCCGAAAATATTTAAGCTGAAGCGTATTCATCCTGAGGTATGACTACTTAACAGATGGCTGCCTTTCACTGAGGGAGACCCTTGAGCCCATCTAGCTAAGTACTGTGTGAACTAGAGGTGAGGATGCTCAGGGCTGGAACGTGGCCCCCTGGGCTTCTTTATCTGGCCCTCAGAACTATCCCCACCCAAGTGCTTTTGCCTGGCTGGAATGTGTCCTTGCACTTGAATAATCACAGAATCATAAAATCTTAGAGTTGGAAGAGACTCTTGAGTGTCACCTAGTATTGTCACCCCAGCATTGCCGGAACCTCAACTACAACATCCATGACAGATGGCCACCCAACCTCTGCTTATAAACTATTCCACTTGTCTGGATGGAAGATAAAGAATGTAAGGAATCCAGCCTACTGCAGAAAGGCGAAGTTTACATCCTTTGCTCTGCCCAACTGCCGACTTGTTCCAGCAAAGGGTTGGATGCATAGCTGTCAACTTACAGATTTGAAAACAAGGGACCAGCAGCCTCAAAAATAATGGATCAGCAGCCAAAATAAGGGATTTTCAGAACACAGGTATGTTCAACTTCTGAGCCCCTCCGAGCCAAAGGCAGAAAGCCCAGCCAGCAGCCAAACGAAGCCTCAAGCGGTGGTTCCCACAGCGCAGCAACCCAGCAAAGGGGATGCAGCAAGGAAAACCACCGTCCCCTCTCCGCTGGGAAGCGCTGAGCAAAGGCGAGTCCCCGGCAACGCGGCCGATTTGATCGGCACAAGGCATGCAAGCGCCACCCCCCAGTCATTCTTAGACTCCTTATTGGGTGAGCAACGCAGCCAAGCAACACAGTTGGAGCCTCCCTCCTCCCTGGCCGGCAGGGAGGGAGGGAGGGAGAGGAGCTGCTTCCTTTGAAACCTGGGAAATTTACGGGACGTCATCAATAAGGGACAGCAGCGGGACACGGCGCTGGGATAAGGGACTGTCCTGCCAAATAAGGGACGGCTGACAGCTATGGTTGGATGAGTCTGTGTGTCTCTTTGCCACCACTTCCTACAGCAGCTTGTAGAAGTCTAGCACTGACTTCTTCCGTTTGATATTCTTTTATTCTTTTGTCCTCTCCACCACAAGAGCTCAAAGCAATATCTTCTTGCCTCCCAAGAGCCTTGCGAAGCAGGCTAAGTTGAGTGCGAATCTCTCAGTGGGGAACCGAACTCTGCTTTCTCACTCCCATACCCAGCGCTCAGCTCGCATAAACAAATGCAAAAAGGTACCTGCAATCATCCCCTCCGGTGCTGATAACGTACTTGTCATCGTGAGAGAAGCGTATGTTGGTGACGTGAGCCGAATGGCCAAAGTAACGCTTGTGTTTGGCCTGTTGGGAAAAGGCAAGGTTTCTCACAAACACAAAAAGCACCGTCTCGTTCCACCCACATTGGCAACTGCAGTGTTTTTTAATCGTCAGAATGCAATGAAGACCGACTACATTGATCACAGGCCTCTGAACACTTCTGAGAACCCACAATATGGTTCTATATATGGGTATCTCCCTCCTCACGCGTGTTTAACTTGAGCACAACTGCATATATGTGCGGTGCCGGGGGGGGGGAATAAATCAATCAATTGAAACTCCAAAAAGGCACAAGAGAGACAAAAACACCCTGGAAAGAGCGGAAAAACAGCTAGTGATCCCAGGAGTCTGCTTCTGAATCACAGCCAGGCACTTCGGGGTACTGGTCTACCTCCCTTGTCGTCATTTCCAAATCGTCCTCTAGCGATAAGGAAGACAGAGATCCACCTTTGCTACCATTTATCCCCGTCTGGTTTTTTAAAGGGGGTTTTCAAGGGTTTCCAGAAGTTTAGAGAGGGGGTTACAGGCTTTGTAGATGGTGTTCCCCCACTATACATGATTTCACCCATATGCTGTAAGTGGGGAGACAGAAGCCTGAACCAAGGATTTTTTGGGGGGGGGGCGTGCGGAATGCAACTTGGTTTGCCTTTAAAGGTGAACCTATGTAATTTGCACTGTTTGAAACAATGTGTGAACCGAAACAAGAGCCACCCTTTGAGATTCTCAGTTCCTCAGATTTTGCAGTGCAATTCTACAGTTAAGTAATGTGTTTGACAATGCATACGTTAGGAAAAATATTCAGATATTCATGAAAATAACATGCAGGAAATGTATTGGGGGGAATTGCTTTGCAAAAATGCGCATATTTTGGGAAATTAGCACCCCAAAATGTGTAGATTGGGAGAAATTTGCACGAAGATGCTGATGAATTCTCAGAAGGACTTAAAAATAAATAAATCACAAGATGATGTGGAGAACTGAACTTAAGACTGGGGGAAATGCGAAACTGATGCAACCAGGAATGAACTGGAGAGGAAAAGTTCTCAACGTGTCCCAAATCTTTTATTGCTGTGCGGCACAGTTTGGAAACAAGAAATTCCTGTCTTGGGGGCAATAAAAATGTAAAAGTAAAGGACCCCTGACAGTTAAGTCCAGTCGCGAACGACTCTAGGGCTGCGGTGCTCATCTCGCTTTACTGGCTGAGGGAGCCGGCGTTTGTCTGCAGACAAGTTTTTCCGGGTCATGTGGCCAGCATGATTAAGTCACTTCTGGCGAAACCAGAGCAGCGCACGGAAATGCCATTTACCTTCCTGCTGGAGTGGTACCTATTTATCTACTTGCACTTTTGACATGCTTTAGAACTGCTAGCTTGGCAGGAGCTGGGACTGAACAACAGGAGCTCCTGCAAAAATATATACTACTACAGTTTCCTCCTTTGCCAGATGCCTGACCTCCAAAATGCACCAGGCAATTAAAAAATATATATTTTTGGCATTCTAAGAAAATTTTCTCTCTCGTTTATTCATGATTTCAGCACCTCACCCCATTTTCTGATTCTGTGTACAGACACCACAAAGCTAGAAAGCCGACTTACAAATTTTTCAGTGCAGGGGAAGTCAAAGAGTTTGACTAGTCCAAAGTCGTCCCCGGAGACTATGTTCAGGCCAGCGTGGGTTACGCAAGCACAGTTGACGTCTGCCTTATCCGCATTTCGAGGCCAGATACCAATGACTTCATCTCCAAGGATACTGCTCCAATGGTGAAAGATGAAAGGAAAAAGATAGTATAGCATTTGGGGCATGTGTTTCTGAAGACAGTAAAGCCCTTAGGGAGCTAGGTATGTTGTTGTTTTTTTAAAAGAAAAAATATACTGAGATTTCTCAGAGAAGATGCTTTTGGCAGCACAGAGGCGGCCAGTCCAAATGTGTTGGCCTCCATCTGTCTCGAAAGACAATGGAGTGTACCTCTGGGAGCAAAGTGAAATTGCTGGGGAATCACAGCGCCTGCTGTGGCTGCAGAGACTGGAAACTCATAACTTCTGCCTCCCGTGTCATTTCTGCTACGTTAGCAACACCAAAGTGACCTCTCTGGGGTGCAAGCCTGGACAGTGTATGGAGGTCCTGGGCTGCCCAGAAACAAGACCCTGCCTTGACCTCACTGATGTGTATGGGATGTAATCCATTGGTACAGTCAAATGCAACATTATTGATTTCCCTAGCGTGGGCACAGGCAGGGGGACATCCAGTCAGTGTAATCTTCTGTTCCACTGGAGCGTCTTCCCCCTGCATGTGATCTGGGAGATGGGCATGGCTCTGGCTGACTCCATAAAAGAGCTGAGTCTTGCAGCCATTTTCTCAGTCTACTTTTGTCTTTCTATTGTCTTGCTGTTCTTTTGCTGCCATGCTGCTCTCCTGCAGCCATTTTGCTATCTGAATGTAATTTTGCTGTCTGCTGGCTCTCAGCCAGCAGCACATGAGTTCAGTTTCCATATGAGATGAACTCACAGTTTGTTGTGTAACCATTAAGCAAAGCCTGCCTTTCAGGGATCAAATCGTGAACTGAAATGTGAGTAAACTTTTTGTTACTTTACTCAGAAAGACTTGTGCCTTTATTCTTTTAAGGGGGATCCAAGGGAACACCAGGAAATAATCTTAACTAAGAGATTCAAACGAATCTGCAGTCTAGTTTCCAGCTTTATTGAAGGGGAATCGGCTCTGCTACATCACTTATTGGCGTGAGTGAAGGAAGGATATTACTTACTCAATATATCCTTTCCTACTGTCCTTAACAGTCCCACAATGTGGTCCAAAAGAAAGCAGAGCAATACGTTTGACACCAGCTTGGCTTGCAGGAGTTGCCGGAAGAGGGCGTACTCCAGCACTCCAGATTTGTGTAGGATTTACTCCTCAGCCTTTCCTTCTCCCAATTAGTTTCCAGCAAATTGACTAGGGTGGGGAACAGGGGGTCTTTTGTCACCCATTACAAGTGGGTGAATTCTTAGTGGGTGAAATTAGGAACATAGGAATCTGTGTTGCATTATACTGGAGTCAGATCATTGGCCCGCTTAGCTCATTATTGTCCACAAAGACTTGCAGCAGCTCTTCATGGTTCCAGGAAGGGGACACTTCCAAGCCCTACCTGGAGACGCCGGGAATCAAACCCGAGACCTTCTGCATGCAAAGCAGATGCTCTACCACTGAGCTATGGCTCATGATGCTGCTCTCCTGCCGCCCATCCCTTGTATCTCTTGTTTCTGTACCACTGTGAAGCTCACAGCTCTTTTTGTGCCGCATCACCTTGTCCAGGTGGCCCAGGTGATCTTCCCGATGAACGCTGCGTCCGTCACCTGCTTCCCTAATGGCACCTCGTGGACCTGGCGTTTATAGGCACCGGTTGATACCTGAGGGAGGCAAGACATCATGATCGTCACACGGATGGTGCCAAAACACTTGGTCTAGCATCTACCACGGCAGCTAGCAATGCCATAGGTCTGCGGCTCTCCTTAATGAAACACGGCTCTCTAAAAGAAAATATGAAGGAATTAATCCATAGGCCGGACAAATGCATATGCGAAGTGGCATTTCTGTGTTGACAAATGCAGGCTTGCGGATTATGACTCCGTGCCTGTTTTGCTTTATCTGAGATATAAGCAGGGAAAGGTAATAGAATCAGAGAATTGAAGAGTTGGAAGGGACCCCAAGTTAATCCAACCCCCTGCAATGAAGGAATCTCAGCTAAAGCATCCATGACAGATGGCCGCCCAACCTCTGCTAAAAAACCTCCAAGAAAGGAGAGTCCACAACCTTCTGAGGGAGACCGTTCCACTGTTGAACATTTCTTACTGTCAGAAAGGCCACTACAGATCTTGAGCACCATGCCTTGCCACCCTGTTCCATCGTCGTCATCATCATCATCATCATCATCATCATCATTATTATTATTTATATACTGCCCTATACCCAGAGGTCTCAGGGCAGTTCACAGAACAGAACAAAATCAAAATATAAAACCACAAAATATATACAGTGGTACTTCGGTTTTCGGACGTACTCAAATCTGGAAGACTGTTCCAAACATTCGAAAACCGAAACCTCAATAGCTGACAGCTAGGTCTCAGGATCCTGCACTCAGTGGAAGCCGCATGGCATGTTCAACTTCGGAGGCGTGTTCGAAAACTGAAGCATTTGATTCCAGGTTTACGGCATTCGAAAACCGAAACGTTCGTCAGCGGAGATGTTCGGAAACCGAGGTGCCACTGTAATCAGTGCAACCCAATAACTCCCCCCCAAACCCCCACATTTTAAAAGGGCATAGGATGTCAAAAGGGCATAGGTTCCAGTCCTCACATTGGACAAAAGATTCCTGCAGATGTTTTCCAACTCTACAATTCTATGAACCATAAAGATTAATTTGTTACCAGACTAAAGGGTTTGTGTGCGGTAGTATACTCACTAGCTTCAACCTGAAAAAGTGTCTTTATTCCTACTCATATGTACTTATGCCACAAATGAGCTCAGCTCCAGGGAAGCACATTCACAGAGTCACACATGTTTTATACGGTACAGTATGATACGATATGGTATCTTTATTGTCCTTGTCCCATACAGAACAATGAAATTGAAAAATCTACATAAGACATTCAAAACCCCCTAAAAACTCTGAAACCCCATTTTTAAATACAATATACTCCTATAGAGACTCCTTATACTGCGTTTAAAACCAGACTTGCATTTGGGTAGAAACTGTTTCTCAGGCAGCTAGTCCTAGTCTTTATAACCCTGCACCTTCTTCCAGAAGGCAGAAGCTGAAAGAGATCATTTCCGGGGTGCGCACTATTCCATTTATACAGCTTTCTCTATATGTATGAAAGGTCATTTCACACATTCTTCAGAGAAAACCTTCCGAAGTCCATGCAGTGTCTGCAATGCAGGAATCTGAGTAGGAAACAATGGCTAGGATTTGCTGTGCTGGCTGTCAGGCTACTTAATGCTCTATGTTTTTTCTGTGTCAAGTGTGAATGTGACAAATGTGATTGAAGCACATGCATCACATGAAATTCCTTGAAATGGCTTGTTCCCTTTGGCTTAGTTTTCACTCTGCCAATGAACTTTTGCCTGGACTGAACCATGTCAGTCTGAAGTTAGCAATTCACTCTGTCACATTAAACCCTTGTGGAAAAGCATTTCTGCACATTAAGAACAGGTATGTCCGGGTCAGAGCCATAGCTAGTTGATCTTGAACCCCTGGCAGAACTCTCCACATCAGGCTTCCTCAAACTCGGCCCTCCAGATATTTCTGGGCTACAACTCCAATGATCCCTAGCTAGCAGGACCAGTGGTCAGGGATGATGGGAATTGTAGTCTCAAAACATCTGGAGGGCCGGGTTTGAGGAAGCCTGGTCCAGATTGTGCCCCCTTGCCATGGACAAATTAGCTCCTCTTTCCGCCTCACTTCCAAACACCCCCCCATTCAATTTACCCTCTATTTAAAACCTTTTCTTATGAGGCAATAATTGATATTTTTATTTATAGACATATTTATGGACATATTTTTAGCCGATTTTGCGGCCCCCCACCCTCGCCTGCACCCCAGGCAGGGGCCCACCTCAGCACCCCCTAGCTACGGCCCTGGTCAGGGTGAAGGATATTCCAGGCTTGCCGTCTGCCTGACATGTTAGTTTTCTATGTGCAGGGAATATCTGTACCACAAGGCATTATAACAGCAGCATTTTGATCTATGAAACGTAAGACTGCCTATTTTCATTCACTGTCTTCTTTACCTCTCCTCTGCCTCTCTGCTTTCGTTTTATAGGCATTTAAATAACCGTATACAGTCATACCTCGGTTTGAAGTAGCTTCGGGATAAGTATTTTCGAGTTGCGCGCTGTGGCTACCCAGAAGTAACAGAGCGCGTTACTTCCAGGTTTCACCGCTCACGCATGCGCAGGCGGTCAAAATGACGTCACGCGCATGCGCAGAAGTGGCGAATTGCGACCCGCACATGCGCAGACGCGCGGGTGGCGTTCGCTTCTGGATGCGAACGGGGCTCCGGAACGGATCCCGTTCACATCCAGAGGTACCACTGTATAAGCAGTGTATTCATATTGCTATTAAATAAATACATTTATAGCCTGGGCCTTCACCATGCGGTCCCAGGATGGGTTGCATGCAGCTCATTACAATTAAACCACCCAAGTGCAAGAAGGCGATATTTTGCATCAAGAATCCATTTCCTCCGGGACACTATCACCAGTATGGAGCCTTCTATATCAGAAGAGCTGTAAACCTGAATTTCGAAAATAGAAAAGAGAAGAATTAAACCCAAAAACCTACCTGAATGTATCTGCTGTCTGCGGAAAAATCCATCTGAATGACAAAGCTTGGGATGTCTTTACAGTAGCCGATGCGGTTCAAGGTTGTGCCTTGGGTGAGATCGTAGAAGTCAACGGTGTGTTCCTGTGAGCCCACCGCGAGGAACCGGTTATCGGGGCTGATTCTGCACAGCAAAACAAGAAGGAGCAGGGCTTTGTTGAGACAGTGGCTGGGCCATGAAGTGTTAGGAGAGTTCCTTGCTTGGGAAAAAACTGAATATGATGCTTGGCAAATGATACTTTAGAATGCCTTTCGTTCCTGGAAAGATCATCTGTGGTTTGTGGAGTGGTGCTCAGGTGGTTTGGAAAGCTGTTTTTAAATAAGATGTAGGTTCCGGTCAATACAGAGTTTTCATTTCTTTTAGAGGCATGGGGAGAGGAAGCCAAAACTTGTATCACATAAAACCCTTGATATTATTTATCCAACCCAATCTGCTTTGTAGTCCTACCACCTCAGATAAGATCCATATCTGTTCAAAAGCACAGCAAGAGAAGACTTCCCTCCCCCCACTGTCCAAAGAATTCCCCCACTCCTCAGATTATCTGGCATTTCAGCGCAACTTTATTTGTGGTCATGGGACCTGCAAAGGACAGGCTACAGAGCGGAATGGAGTTTCTGCCTAATTAAATTTCCTTTGGAAATCGCTTTGCTCACCAGCTGCAGTATTTGTTCCAGGGGAGATCTTATTTTAGAGATCATCTTCCCCGCTATGAGGCTGCCCACCTGCTGAAGTCACCTTCAAGAGTCGCGATCTATATTCCCTTGAGTCACAAAGTGAGGACATCAATGGAAGCAGCAGCGCTTTCTCGGTGGTGGCCCCATGATTATAAATAATATCACTCGAGAGATGTGGTTAGGGGTTCCATATGGCCTATCTGATCAGACTCCTTGCTCTCAACTGCACTTATTATTATTTGGCTAGCAAGAACTAGGGATGGCTATGGAATATCTGTTTTATTAGCTTTATCGTTTCTTGAAGTTTGGTGTGCGTTTAGAACAGGGGAAGCCAATACGGTACTGTCCAAATGTTGTGGACGACAACTCCCATTATCCCTGACCACTGGTCATCTTGGCTTGGAGTGATGGGAATTTAGTCCACAACAACTGGAGGCCCCATGTTACCTATCCTAGGCTTAGTGTGAACTAATGCCACCTGGACAATGCTTTCCAAAGATAACAAGCCATTAGCAAGCAGCACATGGCGCAAAACCAAATGGCTCACGAGCCCATCAGTTGCACTTCTGCCCATCTTGGTCACCCCACAACCTAGCCACAATACCTGATGTCCTGGATGGCAGACTTGCGGTCTCTTTTCTTGCCCCACACTTTAAGGCTGTTCACGAGCAAAATGATGAACTCTCCGTTCTTCATGCCGATGGCGACCATTTCGCCGTCGGGGCTGTAAGCGGCACATCTGGCAGCATGGCCCAGATTCACTTTGTTCAGAAGTTTCTGTGGGATGGAGACGGCGACACTTTGCTTTACGGCATCATTTACAACTCAAGACACTTAACACACACACACACACACACACACACTTCATCCTCATACAGCTACACCAGTTCGTGCAGCTGAACAGTGCTGGCATCAACTTTCTGACTGGGACTTTGTACCCAACCCCAGTTTCTGGATCAGGAGTCAAACTATGCACACTGCATGGTTCTTCATGCAGTCAGGGATACAAGCAGGGAAGTTAGTTTCTGCATGCATATGACCCGTAACTGGGTTGTGGCGATATTTACCAAGATATCATAAGAAGGTAAAAAGAGTCATACAGAATCAGTCCAAAGAAAGGCCAGATTTAGGCATAGCTGTCAACGTTTTCCCCCTTTTTAAGGGAAATTCCCTTATTCCAACTAGGATTCCTCGCAAGAAAAGAGAAAAGTTGACAGCAATGGATTTAGGTTTGATGAGGCCCTAAGCTACTGAAGGTAATGGGGCCCTTCATATGTCCAGCTGTCCTTTGTCAACAACAAATTGTCGCTGTTTTTTGTGTTGAATATATGCTATATGGTAATTTATGGACCTCATAGGTATCTAAAGCCATTTGTACATAACAAAATATATATTTTATCAAAGTAATTGATATAGAAATGAGCAAACCAGTGATAGTTTAGGGAGCAGGCTAGCAGGCGGGGCCCATGACTTACATCATAGGAGCCTACACAACACAAAACACTGTTGCTGTATGTAGGTTTTATTTTATTTGTTTTTTATCTTATATTTTGGAAATGTACATCCAGTTGTTTTTTCCTTTAATTTTTTTGGGGGTCCCAAGGGAGTGGGGCCCTAAGCTATAGCTTTTTTAGCTTATACGTAAATTTTAGCTTATACGTAAATTTGGCACTAAGGGATGCAGGTGGTGCCGTGGGTTAAACCAGAGCCTAGGACTTGCCGATCAGAAGGTTGGTGGTTCGAATCCCCACGCTGGGGTGAGCTCCCGTCACTCGGTCGCTGCTCCTGCCAACCTAGCAGTTTGAAAGCACGTCAAAGTGCAAGTTGATAAATAGGTACCACTCCAGCGGGAAGGTAAACGGCGTTTCCGTGCGCTGCTCTGGTTTGCCAGAAGCAGCTTAGTCATGCTGGCCACATGACCCGGAAGCTGTACGCCGGCTCCCTCAGCCAATAAAGCGAGATGAGCACCGCAACCCCAGAGTCAGCCACAACTGGACCTAATGGTCAGGGGACCCTTTACTTTTAATTTTTCAGCACGGTTTACAATAAACTGCAGTTATTATAAACGGAGATGGAAGTGTCTATTTTTTATCACAGCCATAACAGAAAGTGGTGTAAGGGGTAGCTAATTCTCTGAACACTGCCAATGCAAAGCATTTCCAGACCATACAGTACACATTATTGCTTTTGTAACTAGTTTATTAAACTGTAGCCTGTCTTGTTCAGCAGAACAGCATTCTTCAGGGCAATGGGGGAAATGTATGTTTTGTGTTTTCAGAGCCCAGTTCGCTGCATGTGGATCGGGCCTTCTGCCCTCTTGCAAAAGAGGACAAAGAAGTGTATAAAATATGCATTTGTATTATGTACACCGGCTTTCTTGGCCAATAAAGCGAGATGAGCTCTGCAACCCCAGAGTTGGTCACGACTGGACCTAATGGTCAGGGGTCCCTTTACCTTTAAAACTGGCACTCACTGGTCCAAAGGCCTATTTAGTCCAGGAGCCTGTTCTCACAGTGACCCACTGGATGTCATCAGGAAGACCACAAGCAGGTCAGGATCACACCTGCACTTTCTCCCCTTGAGAATCTGACGCTGAGCCTGAAGGTGTTATCCTGGCAAGCAGCTATTGATAGCTTTATTCTCCACGAATTTGTTTCATTTTCTTTTGAAGCCCTTTGACATGGGAGGCCGTAACTACACACTGTGGTAGTTTAACTCTGTGATGTGTGAAAAAGTACCTCATTTCCTACAATATCTGCCTGGGAGCTTGATTAAAACAGCAGGTTTGCAAACCCAGTGGATTCAGATCCCTTGATATACAGCTCTGGATTTCATTCCGTTGGCAGCAGAGCCAGTTTCAACTGACTGAAAAATGTCCCGACGATCTTTGTTAATCAGATAATCTGAAATGCTTTACATCTTTACAGCTTGCTTGGAAAAGCCCTTAAAGGTATATAAGTAATAATGATTAGTTGTGATAACTGGAGGTTTGCTGAGGAACCCGGAGTTCCAGAGACACCTTTGCAAGTCACCAGGCATGATCCAGGCAAAGTTAAGCACATGTGGCTCAACTGAATCTAATTTGTACTCAACAGTTCACCAGTGAAATAGGGGTTATGTTAACCCTCTGCGTAGAGTTGCTGTCAGGGCAAACACAAGAGATTATGAAGCATTTTGGAAACGAGAGGTGCAATGATAAATTCTAAGCTCCAACAACAGGAGTAGCCTATAATTTTCCTAAGTACACTGAAGGCTTCGATTCAACTGAAGCACCTCTTACTTTGTCACAAAGGTCCCAGATCCTTGCAGTGCCATCATTACTAGCAGAGATGAAGATGTCTTTGGAGGGATGAGTAGCCAAGCCCCAAATCTCTCCTTCCATGTGACTGTCAATCAGCAGGTTAGAAGCACCATTTTTCTCTCCAATTTCAATTATTTCTCCATCTTTGGTTCCCACTAAAATTTTGCCCTGTTGATATTTCAAACAAAGTCCAAGTCAGTACTTATGTATTATTATTTTTTTAAAAAAATATCTACTTAGAGAAGCGTGAATTTCAAAAGACTGCTGAATTTTTTCATTTCATTTCTATACTGATTTTTTTTTAAACCCCTCCAAGCGGCTTGCAACCTACATTAAAACATCAAATAAAACAAACCAGAATAAAAATTACTGAAGAAAGTCAAACATAAAGCATACATTCAAAGCAACATAATTAACAGTAAACTAAAATGTTATCTCAAGGATTTCAAAATAAAGCACTGCAAAGGAAGCCAACCACAGAATGCACATGTAACGTAGCAAAGTTAACAAACAAAAAAAGTCTTTACAAATTATCTTAAACATTACTTTTGTTCTGCATCCAGTGCTGATCAAAGGAAGAGAGAGGAACAGGAAGTACTACATGCTATTTCCTCTCCAGGGGAGGAGGCAATGACATCACAGAGAATCCTCTCTACCAATTGTATTTCTATGGTCTGAGGATCTGCCTATTCAGCAATACATCTCTGTGGACTTAGGCCCTTCCCATGCTTGCTAGCAAGAATATGCATTTGTTAGGTTTGGCTGCTAATCTCCCACACATGGGAGCTGCAAGGTTGTTCCAACAAGTTTCCCCACCTACCCACCAAGATGTTGAGCAGATGCAGAGAATAATAATAATAATAATAATAATTTATTATTTATACCCCGCCCATCTGGCTGGGCCTCCCCAGCCACTCTGGGCGGCTTCCATAGAAACCAAAAATACAGTAAAATATCACACGTTAAAAACTTCCCTGAACAGGGCTGTCTTAAGATGTCTTCTGAATGTCAGGTAGTTGTTTATCGCTTTGACATCTGCTGGAAGGGCGTTCCACAGGGCGCCACTACCGAGAAGGCCGTTTAGGGCTTTAAAGGTCAGCACCAAGCGGGAGATAACCAGAGCATGCTGTGCTACTCACAATAATTTCTGTCCCTGCAGGAATCTTGGGCTTGAAGGTGGGCTCTGTGTCTAGGGGGCTGCGCCTCCTCTTTCTATCAACACACTGCCTCTCCTTGGTAGACAACACTAGCTCTAGTTATCTCCCGCTTGGACTACTGCAATGCACTCTATGTGGGGCTACCTTTGAAGGTGACCCGGAAACTACAACTAATCCAGAATGTGGCAGCTAGACTGGTGACTGGAAGCGGCCGCCGTGACCATATAACACCGGTCTTGAAAGACCTACACTGGCTCCCAGTACGTTTCCGAGCACAATTCAAAGTGTTGGTGCTGACTTTTAAAGCCCTAAATGGCCTCGGTCCAGTATACCTGAAGGAGCATCTCCACCCCCATCATTCTGCCCGGACACGGAGGTCCAGCACCAAGGGCCTTCTGGCGGTTCCCTCACTGAGAGAAGCTAAGTTACAGGGAACCAGGCAGAGGGTCTTCTTGGTAGTGGCACCCACCCTGTGGAACACCGTCCCACCAGATGTCAAAGAGAAAAGCAACTACCAGACTTTTAGAAGACATCTGAAGGCAGCCCTGTTTAGGGAAGCTTTTAATGTTTAATAGGTTATTGTATTTTAGTGTTCTGTTGGAAGCCGCCCAGAGTGGCTGGGGAAACCCAGCCAGATGGACGGGGTATAAATATATAAATAATAATAATAATAATTACACCAGATATTCCTCCACCTCTGCATGCTTCTGCTGTGTCACATCAGGCTGTGCTCTGCTGTCTCATCCCTGCCATACAGGTGTCTCTCTTCCCCAGGTGTCCGCCACTCATGGCCAGAAGAAGGAAACCCAGAGGGAATCAAGACAGATTGTCTGCTAGATATTCAGAACCATCTGCCTCAAACATCTACTTGTTCCTGCCCACTGGAGCTTCCTAGCGTCCTTTTCTCCATAAGCGGAATCTCTCTCTAAGTGCAGATCGCTTTTTATTGTTTTGCTAAACGCTCGATCTTAACAAGAGCCCCTTGCGAGGAGAACAAATGGCAATGCATTTTGTGTATCTCACGTACTTTGCCTCGGCACACCGAACGGACACACTCCACAATTTGCCCTGTCTCAAGCTGAAATGCCCGGCAGCGTTTCATCTCCTGATCCCACAGTTTCACAGCACCTCCTTCTTTCGTCCTGGGGGGGGGGGTAAAAGTATGCAGGATGTCATTTAAGATAGCTTCCGCGTTCCCTTTAAAGGCTGGCTGTGTCTTTCCTGCAATGACTGCAACGCATCTACCGTATTTTTCGCTCCAAGGTGCACCGGACCATAAGGCACACCTAGTTTTTAGGGGGGGAAATCAAGGAAAAAAATCTTATTTCTCCCTCCAGCCCCAAAGAGCAAAGAAGCCAAGACAGTGAGCAGGATCCATCCCGCTGACTGTCTTGGCTTCCGCTTTAGCTGCGCGCAACCTCTCCAACTGGGAGAGGCTGCGCGCGGGTTTGGCAGAAGCCAAGACAGCGAGCGGGATGGATCCTGCTCACTGTCTTGGCTTCGTTTTTAGCCGCGGGGCTGGGGCGGGGGCTTCCCCCGTCCCCAGCCCCCAGAACAGGTCCGGGAGTGGTGGCAAGGTTGCGCGCAGCCTTGCCTCTGCTCCCGGAGCTTGCAGGGCTGGGGGCGGGGGAAGCCCGAGCTTCCCCTGACCCCAGCCCCCAGAACAGGTCCGGGAGCGGCGGTAAGGTTGCGAAGCCTTTGGAGCACAGCGCGAGGTCCCGCTGCGCTCCAAAGGCTTCAGGTGGCTATCCCTGAAGCCTGGAGAGCGAGAGGGGTTGGTGCTCACTGACCCCTCTCGCTCTCCAGGCTTCAGCGAAAGCAACGCGTAGCCTCCGGAGCCCGGAGGGAGCGCTCCCTCTGCGCTTTGGAGGCTTTGCGTTGATATCGCTGAAGCCAAGGAGCCTGCATTCGCTCCATAGGACGCACACACATTTCCCCTTAATTTTTGGAGGGGGAAAAAGTGCTTCCTATAGAGCGAAAAATACGGTATATGTCTGAAAAGAAGTAGTAACCCCACCCACCCCACCCCGCCAGGCTGGGTGCATGTTTAGCATGTTTTCAGATGCATGAATGCCCTATAATTAGCACAAAAAATGCAAGCGACCAAAGGTGGAGATGTATTTTGTTGCAGCATGCAAAGCAGAATTTCTTCTTTGGGAATTAACAGTGATTTGAACTCCTCTCTGAAGAAGTGGAGCAATTGCCAAGCGGTGGCAACTGTAAACAGGAACAAGTTATAGTCTCTTACGGTCTTTCTTTCCCTCCAGTGACAATGAGTCCATCGCGAAGCGTTGTGTACATTGTAAAGACGGGCCCAGTGTGAGCTTTTGCCACCAGTCTGATTAGAAAGTGATCCTTCCAGACATAAACATCTCCATTTATGGCACCAGTGAAAGTAAGGTTATTCTGAAAGAAACAGTCATGGGTTGCTTTGTAAATGCCATTTATTAAAGGACTCTGTTACTTCTCAGCATAATTAACCACGATCTTGTAGGTCACAGATTGTCAGCTACTTTGGACCAGCATACTTTGGCATCTACCCTGACCCCTCATGAATGGATGGATTCCATTCTGAAGTTGGTGCACTCTAGCAGAATGTCTCGATTCCAATATGCCTAGTTATACAACCTTTGGTCAAATGGGTGGGGAACGTTGGAGGTGGTTTGGATGGAGCTGATTAGAAGCGCAGGACTTTCTTGTTACCAGAGGCTACAGAAATGAAGAAGCAACTCAAATCATTGAGATAGAAGTGAGCAATCCTGCAGCCTGTTTACTTGTAAGTAAGTCTGTTTGCTTTCAGTGGGACTTACTTCCTAGGAAGTAGGTTTCAGATTGCAGCCTTAGTCATGGGGGGGGGGGAATCATACCGCCTCCCTGCTGAAAATGCCACAAGTAAAAGCACAAACTCACCGCTCCAAAGGCCACAGAGAGCATGGTTTGCATTTTGGCATCTTCCAACGAACCAATGACTCCCTTTTTATAGAGCAAAGCGCTTCCAGCCAGGGTCCAGAATTTCATGTGTTTGACTCCAACAGAGACAAACTGGGTGTCTGAATCTGGACGGAACTCTACAACGAAGATCCTTTCTAGGTGGCCTCCTCTGCTTGCAATTTTAGCACCTGCGGAAATCAAAAGGGAGCGGCAAATCAGTAAAGACAACAGATGCATCAGTGTTTGTTAAAAGCACCACACACACTTTAAAAAAGTTGTTTTAACGTTTAATGTGTGGCTTTGCCTTTAGAATTCGTGGTTCTTCCAACTACCATATTGGCCCGAATATAAGCCACACTTTTTCTCACAAATTCCGACTGTGAAAAGTTAAAGTGCGGCTTATATTTCCCATGCACCCACCCCTTGAATTTTAAAGGTGTGTCTTAATTTGCGGGTGCAGCTTATATTCAGGCCAATACGGTAGTAAGAAAGAGACGGTGTACTCACCTTCCTGCCATCTCCACACTGTGATTGTATGTTCAGGATCAACTCCCACAGAGACTAGGAGCTTGCCAGTAGCGCTGAAGTTGACGTAATTCACTCCTTTGGAATGGAAGCAGCGCAGCATAGACAAAGTCTGCTTGGTCATAGCATCCCATATGTGGACAGAAGGTGTTGTACCTGATTTATTTCAAAAGGAATGGGGAATTAAGGAGGTTTCATTTAAAGTCATCGGTCTTGAGAGGCAGGTGCATTCTATCAACAATAAGGCAGCTAAGACAAAACCATCTGCACCCCTCCCCAAAAACCACATGTAGTAATAGCTCATGGAACACACATGAGTGGGTGGGTGGGATAAATATCAGACTTCATGACGGGAGACATGTTCTAAAATGATCGTAAGGAAATATTCATGGAAAGATGCACAAAACCACGCACAAAAAAACCCAAACCTGCCCATGTTCCACTTGTATCTGCAGTTGACATAGATACAACAAGAGGAGGAGCATGAAAAGGACCTGACGCGACTTTTCTGACTAGGACTCACAGGAGAGGAAAGCCTTACCTGGAAATTCTGTCATATCACCTGCGTGGTGTGGGCAATGGCAAATGAGAAAGCACCAAGGGAAAACAATAGCGGAAATAAGTCACTGTTTCTAATGCTGAAGCGCTCAACATCAGCACCAGAAGGAAGAAGCACCAAATAAAAATTAAATTTAAAAAAATAAATCAACATGAATATGGATAAATAAACGACAAAAACAAAAGAAAGGCAGGAATATAGTTGAATCATATATTCAACGTAATGCATTTCTGCTGGTACCTGTAGAGAACCAAAATGGCCCCAATGCAGTGGGCTATTCTGGGGGAAAAGAATTTCCAGTGCAGACCGATGGAAATGTAACACTGGCTTTCTCTTCACTGCTGCCAAGAGATCATGAGCCAGTCTTGTGAATGTAGTTCCCCGCTTCCCTCTCAGCAAATACCCTCTTAACCACAGGAATGGAAAACGCTGGAATTGACCTTAGCTTCTGTTAATATTAACCTGATTTTGAACCCCGCCTTAGAATCATAGAATCTTACGAGTTGGAAGGGACCAGGGAGTCATCTAAAGCAGGCATCCCCAACCTTCGGCCCTCCAGATGTTTTGGACTACAGTTCCCATCATCCCTGACCACTGGTCCTGTTAGCTAGGGATCATGGGAGTTGTAGGCCAAAACATCTGGAGGGCTGCAGGTTGGGGATGCCTGATCTAAAGCATCCAAGACGGATGGATGTTTAAAACTATATTTTCAGATCCTGGTTAAATACTCCAAGGGAGGATCTACCCTTATGGCTTTTAATGTTAAGGAAGGGTTAAGGAATGGTTTTGATAATGTAGATGGACACATTGAGGTCCTACTTCTTACGTTCACAATCTGTTATTACCTTCCCTTTTTATTGCTTATTTTTATAGCTTTATACTGCTATGTTGGTAAAACACTGCTCATACGTCCTTATGTATAATAATAATAATAAATTAATAATAATTTATTATTTATATCCCGCCCATCTGGCTGGGTTTCTCCAGCCACTCTGGGCGGCTTCCAACACAATATTAAAATACAATAATGCCTCAAACATTAAAAGCTTCCCTAAACAGGGCTGCCTTCAGATGTCGTCTAAAAGTCTGGTAGTTGTTGTTCTCTTTGACATCTGGTGGCAGGGTGTTCCACAGGGCAGGTGCCACTACCTCTGCCTGGTTCCTTGTAACCTGACTTCTCGCAGCGAGGGAACCGCCAGAAAGCCCTCGGCGCTGGACCTCAGTAGTGTTTTACCTTTTTTAAAAAAACTGTATTTAAACTCCAACCCCCCTCCAATGATATTTGAGGGGTGATTTGAGAGGTGATGTTCAGGGAGGGAGGAAGAATTAAAATGTGGAGCAGAGCAACCAGCGACAAGCAACAGGGAAAGAAACGGTGTTTTGGAATAAGGTGTGGCCAGGTATTACTTACATTTGACCCCCCCCTCCAAAAAACAAAAACAAAAAAACCCCCAAGGTAAAAACGTTTTAATTAACAAGTATGCCCTATGACGTTTTAGAACGGCATATCTAATATTGTTGTAATAGGGGGAAATAATGTTAAATAGGTCCATGTAGATCCAGCCCAATTTGCAAAATGATGTCAAACCCCCTACACACACACTCATGATGTCAAAACATTGCCAAGCCCTGCTCCACCACCCAAGAGAAACGGAATTTCCCACCGGCCAACCAAGCTGCCAACACAGCCAGCCAGTAAATATTCTCAGTTCCTTAAATATTGCAAAAAAAAAAAAAAAAAAATTGTTCGGGCATTTTGTGTGTTTAGATTTACTTTCCTGATGGATATCCACAAAGACAAGGGAGGAAAGGGAGATTTCCTTTGGAAATGTTGTCGAGAGCCTCAAGCCTAATATTTCATCAGCAGGAGAAGTTTCAACTTAAACCTCTCAGTTTGTGAAGTGCGATGATTGTGTTAGGCCCCAAATCATCTATCTGCATGCAGGTAGTTTCAAGCTCTTAAAGCAACACAGGCCTTTTATTAGGTAGCTATAAATAGAGAGTTCCAGTGGAAATGTTGACTGAGACTGAATCAGAACTGGAGTTCCTTCCATGTGGCAGGTTAATGAGAAGACAGCGAATTAAGGAAGCCGTGGTAAATGGCAGCACACCAAACAGCTGTTATCCAGAGATTCCCCAAAGACACGCAGGGGCTATTTTGATGATAGCTTTTTGCTTGGGTAATATCAAAGGCGCTAGCTAGAGTAGAGGACACATTTTGCATGTAAAAACTGTCAGGGTTAATGCCTAGCATTGCCTATCGAATCCTATCTCTCTTTATTACGGTCAATTACCAGTATTCAAAAGGGACGCGGGTGGCGCTGTGGGTTAAACCACAGAGCCTAAGACTTGCTGACCAGAAGGTTGGCGGTTCGAATCCCCGCAACGGGGTGAGCTCCCGTTGCTCGGTCCCTGCTCCTGCCAACCTAGCAGTTCGAAAGCACGTCAAAGTGCAAGTAGATAAATAGGTACCGCTCTGGCGGGAAGGTAAACGGTGTTTCCGTGCGCTGCTCTGGTTTGCCAGAAGCGGCTTAGTCATGCTGGCCACATGACCCGGAAGCTGCACCCCGGCTCCCTCGGCCAATAAAGTGAGATGAGTGCCGCAACTCCAGAGTCGGCCATGACTGGACCTAATGGTCAGGGGTCCCTTTACCTTTACCTACCAGTATTCAAAAGGGAAACTTAGATCCGAAGAGATGAAATACCACCAAACAAAGCACAATCGAGGACCATAGCAATGAAATAACTTGCAGCTGTATCACAGTATAGAATGTCAGGCATAGAAAGCAAAAATTAAAGTTTGCTAAAAAAAAAAATCAGTCCTGGGTGGGTTTTACATGCAGCAACGTAGCATTTAGACCAGGGGTTGGCAAACTTTTCCGCTGGTGAGCCAGATCGCCCGTGCATGGGAGCATGCGTGCTCGCACCCATGCACATGCGCACACGCATGCCGCTCTTTTCTTTTGGAGCCATGGCTGAGGAGGAGAAAGCCGTGGCTGCGTCCCGGAAGTTAGTCCCTGTGCAGAGCTAAACCAGCATGGGGAATGACCAAGCGGGCAGCAAGGACCGGGGGCCAGTTTAATGACTCCCTCGGGCCGTATACGGCCCACAGGCCATAGTTTGCCGACCCCTGATTTAGACACTCTGGGAGAGGGAGATGCGTTCTCTCCAGATTCACAGGGATGTTTCCCATGACTATTTACCTGAGACCTTAGGGAGTTGCTAAATGTTTGAGCAGAAAATTCTGACCTAGGTGGTCAGAATGGGTTCGGAATAGCATCCAATAGCTCTGTCCAGTTTCATACTCCCTACATCTAAACAGAGGGCCAGCATCATAGAATCATAGAACTGTAGAGTCGGAAGCCCCCTGCGATGCAGGAATCTCAACTAAATACTTTACTTTTAACTTTGACCATGAACCTACCAATCTGGCTGGTTGCCACCACGTTTTTGTACTTTGGGTGCTGGTTGACTGTTAGGCAGAGGATGTCATCCGTATGCTCCAGGTAGAAAGTTTGGCTTCCTATGCGATTCCAAAGAAACATTGGTTTTAGAATAGAAATTGAAACAGAGGCGATTGCAATATACGTGCAAAAAGTCAGTCCTAGAAAAAAACGAACTTATCTGAAGAGGGGAAAAGGAAATTATCACTTCCTTTTGCATAAGAACAATTGAAACTTAATATAAGAATAGCTTTTAGACCATTTCAACAATGATTTATGCTGCAATCCTAACTTTGCTTATCTGGAAGGGTGCCCTATTGAATTCAACAGACTTACTTCTCAGCAACTTAACTCAGGACTGCACTGTTAGTGATTTGACATAAACACCTGTTTATGCCATACTTCGCCATCTATCCATTATTTACTCAAAATGTCTTTGAATTACCTGTGGAAAGGTTTTGAACTATGCATGCTGCAGCAGTATGGAAAATAATATCAGCACCATCGTTGAGGTAATGAAGGTTGTTGCGACAATCGAATCCGCGATACCCGAAAACATGGTCTAAAGCCAATTCCTAGAAAGAAAAATGTACCAAGATAATAAGAGGGTTATATGCTACTTTTGGTGAACAATTCTTTTTTCCTCCTCAAAGGAGACACATCAGCAACGACATTTTAAAAAGAGACATTTTCTCCAGCCACCAACCACAAAAATGTAAAAATCAGAGCGGAACAACGTCCAAATTGTTCTGATGCTGATAATATTCGCAAAAGTTTATCCAAATCATACAAAGAAATTCTGAATCAATAAGCAACATGCAATTTTAAAAAAATGGTTTGCAGAACATTAACAAATATTTACCTCATTCACAATAAAGCCAGTTCAACATCATAAGAAATAAAAATTGTAAAGTAACAGCTTGACATACACTTCTTGCTCTTCCAGAAATGATGGGACCAGGTTTTCTCCATGCTATTCTCATCCTTATTAGTACTCAAGAAGCAAAACATAAATCCCTATGCCACAAATCTATTGATAAGTCTTCATGGGATGAATGCATGCGAGTTCAACTACATGTGGCGCAATGGAAGGTGCTGAAGCTTTTCACTTAGCATTTACCTTTTCATATTGTCGAAGGAGAAATTACACATCTAAGGGCTCATCCAAACCTATCTTTGCTCCATACTTCCTAGGCACTGGTCTGGATTTTTCAGATCCACATCTGAGCAGACTTTTTGTTGTTGTTGTTCCAGTGTTTTTCTGGGGGAAACTGCGTTCTACTGAACCTGCTGAATCAGAGCAAATGCCATACATGGAAAACCCAACTGCTGTTTGCTCTGATTTGACTTGGAGCGTTAAAAGGGACTTTGACAAGCTGGCAGCTGCCTTTCCAAACATGACTCTAATTTGGTCAGCGCTCCTGGAAAAACGTGTGTGGCGTAACAGTCTTTGCCCAGCTGCCGCTAACAAGGCTGGGAAAACTGGTGAACCGAGCGGTGACTCGGAAGGTGGAAGAACTGAAGGACCGGGTGATTGCGCACCTCGCCATTACGTTCAGCAAAAGAGGCCTTCTTCTGTGCTGATGGCGTACATCTTTCCAATCGGGCAAATGATGTTTGGTTGGCCGTGGTCTCTGAGGGCATTAGAGGCTGGTTGCAGGTGTGAGGGTATTGGTGGTGAGATTTCAGCTCGAGTGGCGGTTCGGCATTGGTAAAACCTGGATGGGGGGTGAGGTGTGGCCATCACGTGCCCCTCCATTCTAAAGGGTATTCCGTTAAAGGAATCCGGGGGTCGTGGTTCCTGACCAAAGCCTGGGTGGAGGCTAGGGCCATGACACGACCTTCCGGTGATCCTGGGGGGCGCTCCGAGTTGACGTGCATCAACAGGGCTCCCCCTACTAGTGGTTAACCCTTGTGAGACTTCCTGCAGGCAGACAGGAGTCAGATATAGTCGGTTCAATTCCAATGCCTAAGCCAATACCGCTCACATTCTGTAAGCAATGAAGTTGTGGCCTAAATGGTGCCCATTAACCTAAAATATGGTGCCCACGTGTTATTATTCAACACAAGGGGGTGGCCTCGGGGTCTTGACATGCAAATGGCATATATGGAAAACACAACTGCTGTTTGCTCTGGCAGGTAGCATTATTGGAAAAACCGACACAAAAATTGAAAGCAGCAAGAGGCCAGTAAGAAATTCATCGCAACTGCATGTGCAAATTAAACATTTTGCATGGCTTGTGGAGAAGAACATCAAAAACAAATAAAAATCACTGAGGGCAAAGACCAGTTTGTTGCTTGTCCGTAATTGCCATCGCACACAAAAACTCCCAAACCAAAGCAAAAACATCATTCAGCCCAGGTTGCAATTAGCATAAAACAACGAAGGATTAACCCTGACCTCAACCAGTTTCCTTTTTTTATTGATGTTATTCTTTTGCAGTTTCTCAGGTTGAGGAGCAGCTCTGCTAACTGGAGGCCTGAAAGAAGCACAACGAAAACACGAAGATCAGCACACATGAATGGGTAAGAAATAACCTACTGGATAATGAAACTAGTTAGCTGGAGCCTGGGTGGTGTATATCTTGCTGTGAAGGATTCATGGCTGCTTCCAGATTATCTATTGTCGGGAGAATGAGTTGCACTCTGCCGTGCTATTTCAAAATCACACTGGAGTGAATCTGAAACAACGCCAAAGGTGTTTTGGCTAGCATATGAAAGAGTCCCTTACGTATGTCAGGAAAGGCGGCTGATTTCATAAAAAAGAAAGGAAGAAATCTCCACCAATCCCAAAGGCTCCTGTTCACTTGTATGGTTGTAAGCTACCTCAAAGGCTGCTCAGACCATCAGGAGCGGCTTCTGAAGGAGCTGGGTATGTTTAGCCTGGAAAAGAGCCATCTTCACATATCTAAAGGGCTGTCACATGGAAGAGGGAGCATGCTTGTTTTCCCCCTGCTTCAGAAGACAGGACTTGAACCAATGGCTTCAGGTTACAAGAAAGGAGAGTCCGACTAAACAATTTTTTTCTGACAGTAAGAGCTGTTCGACAGTGGAAGAGACGCCCTTGTGAGGTTATGGACTCTCCTTCCTTGGTGGTTTCTCAGCAGAGGTTGGGTGGCCATCTGTCTTGGATCCTTTAGCTGAGATTCCTGCATTGCAGGGGGTTGGACTAGATGACCCATGGGTCCCTTCCAACTCTACAGTTCTCTGATTCTCTAGGAGAGGGCTGTGATGGCAGGGAGAGGATCTGCACATAGAACACTATGTGTGGCCTCCTGCCTCCTGGCCTAAGGCCACAGCTCAGTGGAAGAGCATCTGCTCTGCATTCAGAAGGTCCCGGGTTCAATCCTTGTCGTCCCCAGGTAGCAGAGGTGGACTCTGGGCTCTCAGATTTCAGTGGTGCCCCATGCGACATTAAACTTTGATACCTCTTCCCTCTTATGCGCCGTTCTACAGCATTGCTGTGGCGCCTCCTGCAGCATTGCACCCAGTGCGTCCACAATCGTCACGCTACCCTAAAACCGCCTCTGCAGGTAAGGCTGGGCGTATCCCCTGTCTGAAACTCCGGGCAGTCACTGCCAGTCAGTGAAGACAGTATGTAGCTAGATGGGCCAGCAGTCTGATTCAGTGTAAGGCATTTCTAAGATGAAACTTTTCTTGATCTTTAAAAAAAAATAGGAACACAAGGAGCTGCTTTATAGCACTGATTCAGCATTGTCTGCTCTGACTGGAAGTGGTTCACCAAGGACTCTTGTTCACTCTCCAAGAAGGGACTGGGAGTGGATGGAATCTCTGCAGATGCTTTTGAAAAGGGGGAAAAATCCACAACTACTCTGTCATCTCTGATTGATTTTGCAAGGACCCAGATGTCAGCATGAAAACAAGCGCTGCCAATTTGAAACTGCATCTCGGTATGAAACGAAGAAGGCATGAAGGACAGCATTTTACCATGTGCAATATAACTGGACGACGTTTATTGACTCTGTGGTTTGTTTTTAATAAGGCTGTGTGTTGTAGACATCTGACCCAAGTGACTTCTGACTCCTCCTAGAACATGACTGTGTTTTCTGAAAGATTGGTTGCCAGACGAAGGCAGAATGTTTTTGTTAGTGAGGGCTCGGTTTTCTATGTTATTTACTGAGCATTTGTTTGGGGGTAATAATAAATGGCTGATTTTCTTCCTTTGCTTTGTTATGTAAGGATCAGCCAGCGACATTGACTCATAATTCTTTGTCTCTACTGCAGTAGCAATTAATGCCTGCAAAGTAAACAACTATAATTATTGGGGTGGTGGAAATAGAACAGAAAAGACAAATACAATGAGCTGTCAGATACAAAGCCCTTATTGCTGGCTTCTATAAATACTGCTGCTCTTTCATGCAAATGGAATAGAAGTCTATGGGTTCTTTCAGACATGGGCTTAATATTATGAATAAACCACTGAGATATCACAAATAGGAAGCTGGCAACAAGGTGTTGCTGTTTTTTAAAACTTTATCTGATTTCCCTTGGAAAGGATGAATCTGGATTAAATTGGGGGGCAGATATGGGCTGGTGTTTCGGTAACAGTGGTGTTAGTACTCGCTGCATGCATGCTTTTTGCAGAGTCCACATTGGGTTGCAAAAAACTTGCATGCAATGTGAAGCACCGATCCCAAAATTAACACCCATCTTGAAGACGGTGGAAGACCCCTGCACAGATTGGGTCTTTGTAATCTTAAACACAAAGAAGAATTAGAATAATCTTGTTAATAAGAGGCCTCTTTTTTTCTTTTTGGCCTTCAGTGACCTGTTAAAGAGTCCTGGTTTCTTGAACTTCAAGAAGTAGTTTGAGAACAACTTTTTAGGAGCATAACTTTCTAACCACAGGAACTGGGTTGTTGCAGACAGTGCTCAAATAGATGGCAGTAAAGATTGGGGGTGCATAATGACATGATTAAGTCTTACCACTTGACTCCTTCCAGTTTTGGTAAAATTATCACTCTCCTGTAGTCTTCTTAAAAACAGTCATGGAAAGGATTGCCACAAAAGTTAAGGGGTTTATGATCCCTTTGCCCCCACCCCTGTAATATATCCATTGAAGTACACTGTGGGTAGCCATGGAAACATGAGCTTCATGGTGAGCATTTTTTTTATTTAAAAAAAGGATATTTCATTGTTAGGTTTTGTTATTCAGCTGAATCAAGCACAATCATACAAAAACTTGCTAAGACATAAATGTGCGTGTAAGACATTTCATGGCTTGCAATAACTTTGTGATATTAAGACCAAGGTCTTGAAAATGCTGGCAGCATTAAGGTAAACTCAAAAGTGTAAATAAGTTTTGATGGTTGTAATAATGGAATACTGAATGGTATAGTTTTTGTAAAATATGCAGGGATTTGTGATATGCAAAATGAACCATGGAAAGAGAAGAAGGGAAGTCGTTAATATCTTAAGCATGTAAAAATGAGTATTTTAAATTGTAAAACAGAATATATATATATATATATATATGCAGGTTTTGGTGTCCTCGGGTGTCTTCCCCTGTAAAAGTTGGGGTGTCTAGGCGACGTTTCGACGAGGTCTCACTCGTCATCTTCAGGCTGGTGCTTTCGGCTTCTTGTTACTGGAACAGAGCAGGATCTCAGTGTTTGAGTTCCTATAAATACTGTTGAGGGGGTGTGGTGTATAGCCTCCAATGTTCTGGGCAGAGAGGAAGTTCCCAGGCTAGTGTGCCTTTTCTTCTTTTGTTCCTTAATTACTTGAGGGATATCTTGAGTGATTTCTTGAGTGATATCCTGAGTACCACTTAGGTGGGTCATTAGGTGTGGATTAGTTGCTAAAGCCTTCGTGTCTTGACCTCTTGAACTTTGTGAAGAGTTTTTCTGAGAAGATGGCTGTACTGCATTTAGTTGTGCTCTGGCTTGGCTTCGTGTATAGGGGCGAGCTGTGGTTTTGTGTCCTGTGCCAGCCAGATCTGTGTAGGGATTGCAGGGGGGTGCAGCATCCGGAGGTGCCACCATGGTTTGGCTACTGGATGGTGTCTGTAATTTATCTGTGGAGAGGGTCTGGGTTTGGGTCTGGTGTGGTTGATTGGTGATGGCGTTCTGTGTGCCTCTGGATCTGGTGTCGGTTTTTGTGGGGAGGGCTAATTTCCAGATGTCTGGCAGGCGGGATGTGTCGTCACGCTTGTTCATGTTGTGAGGGTGTTTCTCTATCTCGATGGCTTCCATGATTATTCTCTTGTGGTGATGTTCCATGTTAGAGAGCAATTTGGAATCTGCAAAATTAATTTCGTGTCCTGTTTCTTTCATGTGTTGGAAAAGAGAGGAAGTTTTTTCTTCTTTTTTGACGGCATTCTTGTGTTCTGCGATACGTGCATTTATTCGTCTGTTTGTTTGTCCAATGTACGTGGCTGGGCAGACTTTGCAGGGTATTTCATAGACCCCTTGGTTTTCCAACTGGATTTTATCCTTGGGGTTTCTGAGGATATTGGCTATTTTTTGGTTGGTGCAAAAGGCTGTTTTGATATTGTGTTTATGGAGGATTTTGCTAATTTTATCTGTAGTGCCCTTGATATAAGGAAGGAGGGCCATGCCATTGTTTTCTTCTGTGTCTTGGTTTTTGGGGGTGTTTCTTTTTGCATTAGCTTCGTAACCCTGTTTTGCTGGTATCCATTGGCGATTAACACATTGGAGAGATTCTGTAACTCAGTTGTCAAGTGGTCTTTGTCAGCCAGGCGTTTGGTTCTGGAGATGAGAGTCTTGGCTACGGAGTTTATTTGTGCAGGGTGGTGGTGTGATTGTGCATGTAAGTAGCGGTTGGTGTGTGTTTTTTTCCGGTAGATAGTGTGTCCTAGGGAGCCATCAGGTTTTTTGTAGATTAGGACGTCAAGGAAGGGAAGTTGGTTGTTGGCTTCTATTTCCATAGTGAATTGTATTTTGGGGTGTAGGCTGTTGAGATGTGTGAGGAAGCTATCTAGTTTTTCCTTCCCGTGTGGCCAAATTACAAAGGTGTCGTCAACATATCTGAGCCAAAGTTTGGGTTTGTGTTCTGACTTGTCTAAAGCATTGGTTTCAAAGTGTTCCATGTACAGGTTTGCGATGACCGGTGAGAGTGGTGATCCCATAGGTGCTCCTTCTATCTGTTTGTATCTTTGTCCATTGTGGATGAATCACACCACCACCCTGCACAATCACACCACCACCCTGCACAAATAAACTCCGTAGCCAAGACTCTCATCTCCAGAACCAAACGCCTGGCTGACAAAGACCACTTGACAACTGAGTTACAGAATCTCTCCAATGTGTTAATCGCCAATGGATACCAGCAAAACAGGGTTACGAAGCTAATGCAAAAAGAAACACCCCCCAAAAACCAAGACACAGACGAAAACAATGGCATGGCCCTCCTTCCTTATATCAAGGGCACTACAGATAAAATTAGCAAAATCCTCCATAAACACAATATCAAAACAGCCTTTTGCACCAACCAAAAA